TTCCATTTCACCGCAATTAAGGATGAAACAGTCTATCGAAAGTTAATGAAGCTCAAATCTAATAAGTCAATCGGATTAGACAAAATCCCCTCTAAACTGATCAAGGACTCTGCAAGCGTCATCACTCCTTATCTGAACAATATTTTTAATCAATCCCTATTGGAAGGCATTTTTATAAACGACTGGAAAAAAGCTAGAGTTTCTCCGATATTCAAATCCGGAAATCGAGAGGAATGCGATAATTATAGACCCATAAGCATTTTATCCACCGTATCCAAAATTTTTGAAAAAATTGTATTTGAACAGTTAAGTCAGTATCTTTCTACCAATAAGGTTTTAACAAAGTTTCAGTCAGGGTTCAGGAAAGGTTTCTCTACTTGTTCTTCTTTACTAAGAACAACAAATCAATGGCTTGTCAATATGGATAATGGTTTAATAAATGGTGTTGTCTTTCTAGATCTAAAAAAGGCTTTCGATACGGTTGATCACAATATATTGATAAAAAAACTAGAAATTTATGGCATTAAAAATAATGCCCTTCGTTGACTTCGTTGGTTCATCTCATATCTAAGTTATAGAAAACAGGTATGCAAAGTGGGGGTGTCTGTTTCAAATAGTGAAGAGGTCAAAACAGGCGTGCCGCAGGGGTCAAATCTCGGTCCTCTCCTTTTCTTACTTTATATAAACGATTTACCAAATGTCTCGATTCTTCGGTACCAGCACTTTTTGCTGATGATGCTAATATTACAATTAGTGGTGTTACCGCAAGCGAGATTCAAGATAAGTTAGAAAGAGAACTGAATAGAGTTCATATGTGGCTTTTAGCCAACAAATTAACTTTAAACATTAGCAAAACTGAGTATATGCTTATTGGATCTAGACAAAGATTGTCCCAAGTTAGTGCCGATCCAATTATATCAATGGGATCTGAGGGTATTAACCGTGTTTCAGCAACCAAAACACTAGGTGTTGTAGTAGACGAATGCATCACCTGGAAAGACCATGTTGACAAAGTGACAAAAAAAGCTGCAAAAGGGATAGGAATGTTGCGTCGATCTAAACACTTATTTGATAAAGATACGCTTAAAACCATTTATAATGCTTTTGTTTTACCTCATTTTGATTATTGTGCGCTGGTATGGAATAATTGTTCCAAAACCTTGCAAACAAAATTGCAAAAGCTCCAAAATAAAGCTGGTCGAATAATTACAGGTGATTGCTACAGAACTCCCTCTGATATTGTTAGAACTAAGCTTTCATGGGACACTCTAGAGGCTAGGAGAGAGAATCAGTTGGAAAATTTAATGACTCAAATAATGAAAGGTAACTCAGATAATTACCTTCGTGATCTTTTTACGATCCGTAATAACCAAACGTATGAATTGAGAAGTAACAATCACACTCTCCATATGCCTAAGCCTAACACTAATGCATTAAAACGTAGTTTTAGTTATAAAGGCGCTGTAACTTGGAACAATATTGATATCAATAATGATATTTTAACATAGTTCCTCCATATTTTATTATTTTAATATTTTAATAGTTCTTCTTTTAATATTTTTAACTTTGTTAACACACGGCCATCTGAAAATCAACCTTTTTATTTTTGCATGTACATGTATTCTTAAATTTTACAATAGTTTAGATAATTAGGTCTTTATTTAATTGGTTGAGATGCTACCGTGTATAAATAATTGTAAATAAATAAATAAATAAATAAACAAATCGAAAGAACGTAGTTTTCTGCATTTTAGTATGCATTAGTTGACCTAGATGTTAAATAATAAAAATTTAAAAGCATTTAAAATTTTCCCTACGTGTACGTGCGTATAAAAAACACGTAAGTGGAAAGCAGACTTTGGAGGGAATTGATTAGTTTTTAACATTCTCAAATTGACAAGTTAGGCAAAAGCAAAACAAGAAAATTCAGTACGGTCGCTATATATACTTCATTGAAAGAATGTATCGTGCACAAAAAGACAGTCACCCTGACAACGTTCACTGTTTCTGCTGAAAAAATTCATAGGAGGATGGTAGTTCCAAAATTTGTCGGTTCGGCATGAATTAGTCAACATATACATTATCCTTAAAATTTACTGTGAGTAATCTACTCTGACGCAATACGACAAAGAGTTTATTTATTGTCGTGCAATATTGTCATGCATGCCCCGCGCATGTGCCAAGTGGATGAAAACCCTTCATTCGATCTTGTTTGACAAACTGAAGATCACGTGTAGGTTCGACTTGGTATGCATTCAGATGTTCTGAATATTCGGTAACGTGTAATGCCTTATACAGGGTGAGTAAAAGAAACTGACACCTTTGAAATTCAAATTAGCCGCATATCGGCAGTAATGTGACAGAAGTTGCCTAAAATATCTCATGGGTATACGAAGCATATCAAATAAGTGAATCATTTATTAACCTAAAACATAAAGTTTGTTCCCTTTTGGAGTTAAAATGCATTCTAAGCTCTGTAAACAGTTTTATCAAATCGTTTTTCTAGCACACGCGCCACATTGAATTATTTCAATTGGTTTAAACACCTTCGCGTCCTGTTGATTGTAGACATGGGTCCGTCATGGGAATTGTCAAATTCCAACCATAAGTTCGCGGCTAATTTGACTTTCAAAGCTGTCAGTTTTTTTTACTCACCCTGTACATGAACAGTATGTCCTTTTCAGACGTGAAACTTTTCACGTGCCGAATTGAATGCAAATGAACATAAACAAAGGCTTTTGCTCATTAACATTAGCTTCGGCACATGAAAAGTTCGATGTCTAAAACAGGCCTATGTTTCCGATTACATGCAGTGATGCAGACTTGGTAAATTATACCAAAAACTGGTAAATTGACCATAATTTAGCCCAACTATTATAACACAGCCTCGGGAGCATAGCAAGTGTCTCAAATTTTAACCCAAGACATCCTGCAATAAGAATAAGATTTATTGCAGCAGCAACTAATCTGTAATTTTTCTGCATTAATTTATGACATATTTTTTTATTAACAACGGAGGAGTCATTTCTACGTAAAACATTTCTACCTACTACGGGCTAAAATATCAGCAAAAATGCATAGCTTTGATAACATGCTTACACTGTAACTTCAGTTTCGCCAGTGATCCATAATCAATCGCATCCATAATAATGCATGTAGACTAGCAGAAGCAACTGTTGTGACTTCGCCCAAAATTGATAAAAAAATTTTTTCAAAGAAATTGTTTAAAAGTATTTCTGCTGTCAGGTTGTTATCATACTACCGATAAAGCTTCAAAATTTTAATTACAGTAACCTGGTCCTTGTTCCATAGAACCTGTATCGAAATCTTCTTCTGACCTTTGTATAGAAGATATGCTTCCAAAGCTTGGTGACGTCTTGCTAGTTAATACTGAATAGTCAATGCTTTTTAAAATTATTGATTATTTCAAATAGTTTTTTGAAGTTTGGCTACAAATCTCATTGACCAACTTCACACTAAGCAGCAATATTCGAAATATTCACATCCTAAGAGACATGCATAAGAGTTTTATCTTCTCAGGGTTGGTGTGATTATTCAAAAACTGCGCACAGAGTGTGGGTAAACTCTTTTGTCTATTTTCATTCCTTGATCATTGACTAGTATCTAGGATATGGTAACGTCCACATAAATAAGATAAGAAATAAGGTGAGAAAGTTTCATAATAATATTCAACCACTGAATTGATACTGGATGATGAGCTATTTGAGCTTCAAGCCTTCAAATGCTCATTTTATTGATCATAAAAATTACCTGATAATTTGGCCAGGATAATGAACCAACGATATAACGCAGTTTTTGGTATAATTAATTCTTCTATCATACACCTTTGAGAATTGTTCTAGACAACCCTGTACCAAAACAACATGATATGCAGCTATAGTTCAACACTACATGATAGGGCAAACGCTATATATCTGATGAATCTTCATATAAGCTCCCAATTATCATAATTCCTGGGAATCAAATCTGGGAACCTGGGAACCAAAAACCGCCTCCCTTAGTTATGCGTGGTGACTATTACAGTTATAGGTCACAAATTAAGTTTTCTGTGACGTATGCTTAAAATGCTCAACAGCGCATACACATGCGAATGATTGACACAAAAGCTTTCATTTGCTACATCATGCATATTTTTAAATGCGACTGTCAAACTTGGCAACGACATACGACTGTTGATTCAGACATGCAAGTTCTGAAAGGATGATTGATGTTTTCATCTGTACTACCTTATTCGATCCCACCATAGACAATCCAAAAGACAAAAGGATTGTCTATGATTCCACGAAACATCATGCATGAATGGAAAAGTAATTAATGATTGCGAATGGCCGAAAATTATATTTATCCACGTGTTCGTTACAGTAAACTTGAACTTAACGTATGAATGGATGCATGAATAGAAAAGTAATTAATGATTGCGAATGGCTGAAAATTATACATACCGACGTGTTCGTTACATTAAACTTCAACTTAACGTATGAATGGAAAAGTAATTAATGATTGCGAATGCCGAAAATTATATATACCGACGTGTTCGTTACATTAAACTTCAACTTAACGTATTCATCCTGAAGTGTTAAACCAGTGAAATCGTCTAATCTCTTATCTCTACGTTCGAGCCATTTTTGACATCGTTTTAAGTCACAGTTTCTTGCGATTTTAGAATCATGAAACCAACTGAAATGATCGTGTTAATGATTGTCTGTCTGGGTGCTTTTTGTGCTGTCAATGGTAATTGCCGCCCGGGAATTTGGTGCCGCTCTCAAGCAGACAAAATGAAGGCTAACAAAGCAGCAAGTCGTGAAGGGATCGTTGGGGATAGAGATTCTAACTTTCAATATCGCAGAATGAGAGGAGATGACGCGGGAAACATGCAGGGTCGACATCGAGCGTGAATTTTAAGGATATTTGGGCCATTATTGATAGTATTTCAATAGCTAATAATTCGCATATATATTCGAATTAATTGCTTGGTCCACTTCAATAAATATCTTTATTAAAATCGCTATTACTTCATTGACATTGATTACATTGAATTCTAAAACCTTATTTAATTAATTTTCAAAATAATTACGCATAATTTTATCTGTAGAAATGATCCCCGGGCTGTAGTAGTCAAGGACGCTCCAGTATTTTTTGTTTCATATACCGTCACTCAACTGTTTAGCAGATCGTAAAGATTACTGTCATCAGAAGTGAGCACATTTGGTGTGGCCTTGCTTTGAATCATAGTTTCCTGGGCTAGGGTGACCTGAGGCAGCTGCTGTGGACGTGGTACGGTAGATAATGGTTGTGTATTCAGTTGTCCTTGGCTTTGTGAGCGCTGAACAAGTTGGGCAAGCATAACCTGCGATGCTGATAAAGGTTGCTGCTTTACAAGTGATGATTTTTGTTGCAGTTGCTGCTGCTGTTGTTGTGTAAGAGTTTGTTGTGCTTGCTGCAATTGCATTTGCTGCTGTTGTTGATTAGTATCTTGCTGCTGCAACTTCGAATTGCGTTGTCGTTCTGCGTCTTCATTCTGATCTGATTGTCGTTGTTGTAATGATGGCTGTTCTTGCATGTCTTGTTGCACAGGTTGCTGTGATGACTGTTGCTTCTGTTGCAATTGTTGCAGTTGTTGCTGCTGGTTCGTCTGTTGTTGTTGTTGTTGTTGTTGGGACTGCTGCTGCTGCTGTTTATTCTGCTGAATTTGCTGTTGTTGGTTTTGTTGGATCTGTTGCTGATGTAACTGTTGTTGCTGAACTAATTTTTTAAGTTGCAGTTGCTGAACTAGTTTTTGCTGCTGCTGTTGTAGTGGTGATGGTTGTTGGTTACGTGGTTGGTTATGTTGTTGTAGTAATTGTTGATTTTGTTGCTGTTGCAATTGTTGTTGTTGTTTTAATTGTTGCAGTTGCTGTTTCAGCACAATCTGTTGCTTCTGTTGTTGTAATTTTTGCTGCAATTGCTGAAGTTGTTGTTGCTGTTGGTTTAATGTTGCTTGTGGTAACTGTTGTTGACCCTGCGATTGCAAGACTTGTTGTTGTTGTTGTTGTTGTTGTTGTTGTTGCTGTTGCATTTGTTGTAAGTGAGATTGACGTTTTTGCAGCTGCTGTTGTGGCAGTTGTTTGTTCTTTTGTAACTGCTGAATTGCCATCATCAGTTGTGCTTGATTACTGATTGAAGAATTACCAGCTCCAGCAGTGGTGGCTCCTTGACTAAGCACTTGTGGTTGTTGCTGTTGCTGCTGCTGCTGTTGTTGTTGTTGTTGTTGTTGTTGTTGTTGTTGCTGCTGCTGTTGTTGTTGTAAAGACCTAAAATGTTGTTGCTATAAAATGAAAGAATGAGGTATTAAAATTGATTGATACAGAGTCAAGTTATTTTTTACTGACTGATATGAGGATACATAGTGCGCTTTCCATTAAGCGGCCAAAATGGTCAGACCGGTCATATTTTAAATTGAAATATTGGGTATTTCGTTAAGAATATAGCGATAAAACTATATTTCCTGTGCTAGGCAGATGTAAATAACGATAAACTTGAATGCAGCGTTCTTGAACACTCTAAAATACCATGCAGTAATCTGTCTGTAGCGAAACACAACAGGACCGGTCTGGCCGTTTTTACCGTAAAAAGGAAAGCGCCCATAGATTAAAGGAAAATTGCAGTAGAAACAGATTTCAGAATCTGACTAAAATTTCAAGTTCGGTTCAGAACTCCTCTCACACAAGAGTAGGGTCGCAGCTCCTCGCAAGAATGATTTTGATTGGCTGAACTTTACAATACATTTCTGTTTCAACCAATAGCATAGCTACGTTCTTTACAAAGCATCGAAAAGCATTATCCAATTGGACGAAAGCTTCCGAGCACTGCGACATGATCCTCACACAATAATGTCTTCAAGTTTTACTACAGTACTAAGTTTACGCGATTGATAAAGTACGAGGAGTTTTCTTTTCTTTCTTTTCTTGTAGTTTCTCTCAGTCGTCGATCTCGTATTGCCGTCTTAATCTTAAGCTCATTACTGGAGATACTGTTTTTAAAAAGAAGAGTCATGGGACGAAATTTTATTACCTGTTTTATCATTTGCATCAGTTCATTATTTGGCAAACCCTGGGGACGAGGTTGCTGCTGCGCAAGAAGAGTATTCATTTTCTGTGGTTGTTGTTGTTGTTGCTGTTGTTGTGAGATGTTCCCTCCAGCGCTGAGGTTAGGTTTGTTAATCTAAAAATATTATATCAATTAATACAGACCTCTCCTCCTATTACCAGAAGAGACAGATGCTAGCGCGATGTGATTTTTGTTCAGATTTGTCGCTTCATGATGTCTTTCCAATGCAAAAACATCGATTGTTCCTGGAGTTTTGAAAAATCGAGCCTATTTGCTCTTTACTTTATTGCCTTTCAGCCTAAATTTTCACCTCTCCTATCGTTTGCACGGTGGGACGTACAACTTGAGGCCGGAAACAACTAAATTGAGCGTTTTTATCAGTGCAATAATAACATGTTTCAGTTCTTCATCAGCGGTCTTTTGCGTAATCAGCGCATGTGAAGTATGGGAAGGTTTTCGCGCCACGGAGAAAGATAGAGAAATACAAACGTCTATTATTTTTATCGTGGCTACCACTCGAAATCACAAAGGTATATTGAATCTGCGACCTTTGGTTTGCTAACTCAGGGTAGCACCATGACAATGAATTGCCATGCATATGAATTACCACCACAAACGTTTATTATTTACCTGCAAGGGCGCTTGCATGTCAGGGATGATTTTTTGTGGAGATTGATTATTGGGAAGTACAAGCGGTAATTGTCCTCGTTGTTGCACCTGTTGTTGTACTTGATGTTGCTGCTGGTGTAACTGTTGTTGTTGCTGTTGCAGTTGTAATTGCTGCATCTTGTCTTGCTGGATTTTCATTGCCTGCAACTACAAACAATAACGGTTGACGAAAGAAATATCAATTCTGCAATACTCAGTCGATCATGCGTGGCCTAACTATAGTTTCGGGGCCAGATGTATCAAGCCCGTTTAGCTTAAACGGTGGATAAGTCAAAATTAAATAACACTCTTACATCTCTCTTGAATGGGTCAACTTGAATATTATGCACTGAATATGTAGTTGTAAACAGTATATTTGCTTTAAGGTTAAAAACATTTAGTTCGCTTGTTGAATAAAACGATAGACTCGCTTTCTATTTTGAATTTATCCACCGTTTAAGCTAAACGGGTTTGATACAACCGGCCTCCGATATAAATTGGACACCGATCATTTCAGATCACCTCGTAATAATTCTGTTTCAGTGGTTTCAGACTCCTCAGTAAACCCTGGTGCGCGGGAAAGAGCTAGTGCTACTGTAAGCACATTTTATGCTCGTACTTATTTATTGATATATCGCACCATAATATACAATCTTCGTTCGTTGGCCTAAATCTACTCACGCGATTGGTCAAAATCAATAACGTGGTTTCTTGTTGCCTGGCGACAGATCATGGCAATCATAATTTATTCGCAATATTATAACCCATGAAAATCATGGTTTATTCAAAAATGACAGCCTGCAACGAAGCTTAGATCTTCAATGCAGCAATCAATGAACTCAGATTGTATATTAAAAGTGTTAGAGACTTTATGTTCGTGTTTTGTTTACAAATAAACGCACTTTCTGACCATACAATGAACTCACCATACAATGAACACTCACAACAGTCTCTAACCTTTAAATACACACTTATAGCTGATCGACAATATTCGCAATTAACAGGAAAGCTAAATAAGCTTTGTAATGCTCGATATTTTACATACCACTTGTTGCTTCTTATGTTCCTCGATCACTTTCTACAAAAGACAAGAGAGCATTGCCATTGAATCGCTTCGTTAACGGTAAAACAACTAAAACGTCTATTTTATAGGTTTCTTCAAACTACTGTACTCGGGATCTTTTAATAACACTGACTTACTTTTATTGCACCCATGAATTTTTTCTGAAATCAAAAGAAATAAAAAAAATATTAATAATACAACTTATCAATTATTTAAAAGAATTTACAGTCTGTGTTCGGCAATAGCACGTCATAAGTGACGTCATAACCCGGAATAGGATAATTTAACACACACGCGTCATAATGGCGACGAAAATGTCGTATCCCAAGTTATTACGCCATACCAGTGACGATGATATTAACTTTCCAATGAGCGGAAATATCAAACACGAATGCTGGCAAACAAAGTTATAAATATAAAGTCCATTCTTTTTAATAAACTATAATTTCTCATATGTTCGGCCTCATAATTGGTAACTATTAGCAAGAGGACGTAATTCTTTATACAAGACATTTATATGTAGGAGTTAAATTCTAGAGGTTTAAAGGGTATTAATTTCGATCGGAATTAAGATATACACACTTCAAATTTAAGCCAGGAACAGTTGATGGAAAAATGAGTCAACTATCGGTCCTTCGGCGGGAATCGAACCTACGCAATTGCGATGCAGGTGCAATGCTCTTGCCACCGAAATTTCTTTAATATCAAACTTTACCTGATCAATTGGTATTAATCCAACAAAGGCCCGTTTTCGTGGACTGAATATTAGCAACAATATTTTGACATCACATTGGTTATTCCCATTTACAAAATGAACGCATCCAGCCTGAAACGGTACAGAAAGCGATACATATTATTGGATGATTACCGAGGATACCGTATAGTGGTTAGGTTCGTTCGGCTCCAGACAGATTTTCACACATTTCTTGAGCGTCGCTTCAACGTTTTGTTCCATTTTTAGTGCTAAAACATGCCTTTTGTTCAAATCAAAATTAAATGACGTTGCCTACTTCTAGATGAACGTTGAAACCAATCTCTAAATATCTGCGCAGAAACGTCAAATCGAACAACTGTGAAAACTAACGCGACAACTATATGCATTTAATGGTCTACCTGAATCCACGGTATATACTCTAGACTTATCTGATTAGTACTGACCTGTTCGTCCACTGACCTGTTCGTCCACTACTAAGTCAGTGGGGCTAGTAACTATGTCATGCAGAAAAATTCGGGGTTCGTGGAAGATAGACATCTGATATTTAATTAAAAATACTCGTTGACATCAGAAAACGTCTTGGGAACACCGCAGAAATTGGTTTTTATGAGGTTTCAACCCGGAAATCTAATCACTGGTTCACAATTGTGCATTTCTGTATCGCTTTCAAGGAGAAAACTATTGAATAACTTTAAAAAGTTTAATTTTTCTTCTGAATACGCATTCTGCATTCTGATTAGCTTTTGACAGCTCATCATACACATCTGACAGCTGTGAAATGGCCATTTTGAGGCTTTAAGTATACACATGAAGGTTATTAATTCAGACGATTCGTTTTTCAAATCTTTTGTACCAGACATATTTTTTTTGTATTTATAAATTTTTTTCTCACCAAGTTTGAAGCGTAAGTATTGAGACTGCGGCTAAGTATATCTTTTAATTTTACCAATTTCCGCGGTGTCTGACTTGGGTATATTATGAACTGGGATCCAATATTACATATTCACTCATTACTGTAATAATCACTTACAAATCGAACACGACTGGTCGCCATTACTCGATACAAGGCTCTTAGAGATTCGGGATCGTTTGCAGCAAAGTGGAAACTGACCGTTTTTGAATTGTGGAGCAATGATCCTAAATTTGTCTAAAAAAGGCAAAATATTTGGCTTAAGAAATGATTTACTAAGGTTAAAAACTTAACAGGGGGGGAGGGCGATTGTTATCGTTAAGAGGAGCGAGGAAACCAACCATCAGCGAGTTTAACTTCAACTATAGACTTCACGTGATCACACGTACGTCATGTTTTAACACAGCACGGGGATTTATTCAGGGGAAGTTTACAGTACTGCAGACTAGTCATGACCCAAGCAGAGGTTGAAGATTTTTTATTGTTTCTTACAATAGAGTACCTACCAGCAATGACTGAGGTATCAGTTGCATTACCAGTTCCTTTGGCCACTTTTCGGTTTGTCTTGAAATAAATTACAAAAAAAAAGGAAAGTCAAGGCTATATCAACATGTAAGGTGATCAGAAAAATATAAACAAATTCGGTTCGCACAAGCAAACCATGCAGTGGTGTTCACTGAGTCCTATGTAAACGTAGCCTTGGTAGTTGGTAGCACTGTTTATTGCAGTTTAATATACAATCTTCGTGCATTAGCCTCAATCTACTCACGGGATTGGTCAAAATCAATCACGTGGTTTCTTGTTGCCTGAACTCATGAAAATCATAATTTATTCGCAATAACTCATGAAAATCATAATTTATTCGCAATAACTCATGAAAATCATAATTTATTCGCAATAACTCATGAAAATCATAATTTATTCGCAATAACTCATGAGAATCATAATTTATTCGCAATAACTCATGAGAATCATAATTTATTCGCAATAACTCATGAGAATCATAATTTATTCGCAATAACTCATGAGAATCATGGTTTATTCAAAAATGACAGCCTGCAGCGAAGCTTGGGTCTTCAATGCAGCAATCAATGAACTCAGATTGTATATTAAAAGTGTTAGAGACTTTATGTTCGTGTTTTGTTTACAAATAAACGCACTTGCTGACCATATAATGAACTCGAAATGTGAATATTGTAGGGTTTATTTGTGAACAACGTAAAATTATAGCTTTGATATATTTTGTGTAAGGTCTTGATCATGTCCTGATCCCTTCTACATGCACTCCTACACTGCTCCAGCATCTTTTACTTACAAGGAAGGATTACTTACAAATTATCGGTAGGTGGTGTTGAAACATGGCAAGATAAGACTCTCGTGACTTTGCTCGCAGTACCAGCTTCGGTGCGGATCTGATGATTAGAAAAAAAAATAGGGTAGATTTCATTGCGAATGTCTAATCCAAAAAAGCCCGCCTTCCAGTTTCGGTATTTCAAAACGACTACGTTGAAAAAAAACCTAAATTTATCCTCTACAGCAATGTTGATGTTTCACGAGTTTTGGAAGGTGGCTTCGCTTTAGAGGGGAAGGACAGGAACGACTGAACAGGGAAACAAGTATTTAAAGACTGATTTAACATCATTGAAACAATGGATCTATTTTTAGTGGAGTTTGATACTTGTCAGCTTCGCTTCTACTCCCTCTCCCCTCCCTCCGCTCTCCTCCCCCTGTCCTCTCTCCTCCCTCCGCTCTCCTCCCCCCTGTCCCCTCCCTCCGCTCTTCTCCCCCCCTGTCCGCTCTCCTCCCCCCCTGTCCGCTCTCCTCCCCCCGGAATATTTCATGCAATGCAATGGTGGTAAAACATGTGCAATAATTACCGTTTCTTGCCATTTCAAAAAACCTGTCCAAGCTAAGGCTTGTGTTGGCGCACCGGTGGCTGCAGCCCCTTTAAAAAAAAAATTCCTTTACTTCAAGTGGTAACCCACCCATATATCCCTGGATATATTCAATTATTTTGTCAGACATACAGTTTTCCAGGGGCCGGTTGTATGAAAGCCGGATAGTGTTTCAATCGCTTTAAATCCCGCTGTTTGGTTTCATTTTGATTAAGTCTTAGTATTCCTAGTGTCCTCTTTTACAGAGGAAAAAACGACTACCCAGTGGATAGCGCTATCCGGCTTTCATACAACCGGCCACAGTCGAGTATTGTCCCTAAATCAAAATAATCGGGCCATGGGTGACAGGTAAAACTTTTTACACACCCAGAAAATATTTGAAATCTTAGAGAATATATATTGCAGGGTTTCAAAATCTGAGGAAATTTCCTTGAAAAATTTCACCACAATAGAACGAGGGTTAATATAAATGTCATTATAAACACATTATTCCTCAAACGTTTTTTTTGTCGTTTTTTTTCCATTTCACCCTCATATATTTGGACAAGTATGTGCAGATAAATTATGAAAACCCTGTTTCTTAGGGCTTCATTCCACTGTCGCGCTTTTTGGCACGTACGTACACACACGTAAAAACTTAAAATCTTCTAAGTTGTTGTATAATTTATTTTACCCCAGAAAAAAACATAGAAAATCATCAACAGAATCCAACCCTACGTCAACCTCGTACCCAGGGACCCTACGTATCACTTAAACGATTTTATACTTTTACGTGCGTGTAAGTGCCCTAATACTACAGCATAATCAGCACATTGTGTTGCTGAAGGGTGCCTGAAATAAATGACTACGATTGTTTACCTCCAGTGTTTCCTGGATCAACCACTGTTTGAACAGGATCGGGAACTACAAATTTAGTCGTGTGTAGGATAGATTAGCGATATATTTACTGGAGATGTGGATGGTAGGGGGCGCACCCTCAGTCAAGTGTAGTGAGGGTGCGCATCCCCAAGCCGAGATGCAGAGGGGATGCAGGCGTGTAATTTGGGTATCAATTTGAATTTCGGAGGATTATCTATGTTCAAAAATCCGTATCCAATTATAAGTATTAGGGTCATTTCCGAGGCTCTGGCAATCTACTATAACATTGTCTCATTTCTATACTTTTTTTGAACAAACCTACATTGATGTTTCAGCTGCTGCTTGTGTCACACCCGACGTCAGAGACTGCTCATCACCCCCTATATCACCGCTCCCCCTACATCACCCCCCCCTCTACATCACCGCCCTCCCTACATCACCCCCCTACATCACCCCCCCCCGTATAAAACCGCCTTCGAAAAGCTACATGGCATATTTGCCTTTCAAATTAAAAGACTTGCCAATTAAAGTTATTATTGCTGTTTTCGAACAAAACTTTAATCCACTATATGAGAAGATCAATTAATATAAGGTCCTTACCTTCAATTTCTGTACTTGAAATAATCTTGTTTTGTACCGGTGGTAACTCCTTTTTAGGGATGACAGGAGGTGGAATCTGCGGCTGAATGGTTGTAGGATAAACAGCTTGGTCTTCTGAAACTAGAAAAGGAATCATTAACATGGTAACGTCCGTGAGTTGATAAGGGTACATCAGGTCTTAGTTATACGTCGCATTTGGTCGCGTCGAATACAATTCAAACAATAGATCATGAGATGATAAACCTCATTAAGCTTCATTATCATCTCATTATGTACTGTTTCAATTGCATTCGACGAGACCAAATTCGACGTTTAACCTAGGCCTTGATTATGATTACACAATAAGCATTTGCTTAAAATCTGTGTTGTGATGTTTTTTCGTCTCTTCAGAATTTGCCAAACTAAATTCCATACCGCAAGCAGTGAATATTTACGCAGTCTGATTGGGTTACTGAAAATGTGAACAAACTTAATGTTTGGTCTAAAACGATATTCCTTCCTGTTCTAAAACGTAGAATCGAAGCGATACTGTTGCGTGGTGAAGTGAAAAATCGAATGTCCTTACCATGAAAATCAATTCCTTTAAGACACACCATGTGATTCTTTTCTTTTATGAACTCCTTTGGAACGAATGATTTTCTCTTATCAAGATTAGCCTATAAACGGCATTTAGAATATTAGGGACCACGTGTACTGTATATAGTACATAGCTATACGTATTCATTGTACGAAATTATGATTGTATGATAGCACAATTAAGTAATTACATGCATGTAGAAGGTGCATAAAACTATCCTTCTATTACAGTATAATTGGCGAGTCTTTAATATACGACGCGGACGTGACATGAAAACAACCACTAGTGATAAGAACTGTGCAGTTCAAATATGTTTTCCAGGCGACTCTATATTTTCAACTGTGGAAATTTTTACCCAAAATCTGACAGTAGATTTTACTCAAGAAGATTTGGTTCATCATGAATTTCGGTACCATAAAATTTTATTGTGTTGTTACTACCATTTCGGTACCATAAAATTTTATTGTGTTGTTACTACCATTTCGGTACCAATATAATCAGGTTCTTTGAATTCATGATTGCATTGATTAGTAAAGTATTTTAAATAACGTATGTTACCTGGTCAAATATGCTTTGAAATACAGACGTTTTATGAGGTGCAATGACAGAGAGGTTTACTCCATGCTAAATAAAAAAAATTACCATTTAGTACCTATGTAATTTAATAATAATTTAATGTATTTAGCTTAAAAAACAAACACTTCAATTCTACACTGCAATTCCATCTGAGAAATTTAAGACATGCAAGAGGGTTTGAATTATTAGGGCATAGGGGGTAATAACAAAAATGGATATATCCCTTTTAAAAACTACTTTCCCCCTCCTCTCAATTCCTCCATCCACATCTCCGAAACATCCCCAAAGATTGCCCTTAAAAATACAACAAACCTTTCCCATTTGAAGAGCAAGGTCATCGATGGTCATATCAGAAAACAGATTGCTTTCCAAGCTCTTTGCATTAGGACTGGGTGGCGACATACCCACAATAACACAATATCTCTTCACATTGCACTCTCTCACTCCACCCTCGTGTAAAGGATCAAATATCTCCAGAGCAACACTCATACCATCTGCAAGCAAAGTGTGCCATTCTCCGCCCCCGCCATGACACTTGAATTCTGTGATTTCCCTCAGGAATTTTCGACTGTTCCTCGTTCGACAGACTATTTTAACCGCTGAACCGGGAAGAGCTTCCCGCGTACCATACGTCACCAAAATATAGTTGGTGTTTCCATACTGAAAAATGAAGAAATTTTGGCACTTAATTGGCTGATTCAAAATTATTTCGGACAGCTAGGCCTTAAAAGTTTATAAAATCAGTGAGCACTGACCAGCCAATGACTGCATGGTAAAATATCAGTTTTATTGGCCTGAAATATCTGCAATATACCGAGAGTGAGCAAATGCAGAAAATCACACATTTTGTTATTGCATGTACCTAACCAGTTTCCAGAGAAGAATCCAGATTCACAAATGAAAACAAAATTGCATGTTTATCAAAGGGGATTTTATCTAAATAAGGTCAATTTTTACAAAAGAACTTTGGAAGGGAGGTAGTGCTTCTTAATATTAACCTTGGTATAACAATATGGGACATATATTTGATTGCTGCCTTTGCTAGGGCTGATATAGTTGCTAAATTGCTGTTATAAGTTCTATTTTTACATGATTAGTTTGTCAAAATATACAATCACATGTTTGAGCTTTGTATTGTATAATGATGTCCAAGGAATACAAAGTTATACCTTTGCTTAAGATGACAATTGACAAATTCTGTTACATTTTGTAGATGGCCATAAATATATGAACTGTACGTACTGCATGTATTATGTGCTGTGCTATCTTTGTTAATGTAATTTTATAATTTTCATAGCAATACTTACATTAGCAGCTATTTCTTCCACTGGAACTGGTCCTTCATTGAAGTATCTGTAAGAAAGGAACTAACGTTATTGAATTTTAAAAAATCAATTGAGAACATAAATTATTGACATAATTATATGACATATATGGGTAAATTTATGTATTTGGTAATCATATTGTATGTAGTTTTAAGGAGGCAGGCCTGTTGCCAGGCATAGGGTGGAGTAGAGCACCAGCTTTTTGTTCAAAAATTATCAGAGCTTCCTATGACACTCTGAACGCGCACGAAAAAATTTAAATATGTATTCATATATAATTGTGTACATATTTCCACTACATATTGTCCCTAAATTTAAGTTAAAACTCAAATTCGGCACTGACTCTCTGGGACAGTGGGCCAATGGGTGTGCTTCCCTCGAAAATAAATCATTCAATCCTGCCATAGTCAGGTCTGTAGGCACTTTCCAACTGAGACTGGTTAATTATAAGTTTAAACTATCTAATAATTTCATTCACTACAGTGCTATAATCACTGCGACAAGTGGATACAAGATATTTCTCTTTGTGGTATTTCAACATTGGGAACCTGACTTTTTGGGGTCCGATCAAATATTGCTAGGTCTACTTGGGTTGTGAAATCAAGAAAATATTTATCGCTATTTTCTTGCAGTAGCAAACATATGTAATTTTTAATAGAATATCTCACTACAATAATTCTTTTCAGCAACTAATTCATTATGTGAATGCATAAAAGTGGTTTCCTTGTTAAAATGTTTAATATTTGTTTTAGTTTCACTTTAGGTAATGAATACAATCCTGAACATACAAAGCTGGCTTAATGTTATGACAAATGAATACTTGTGATTGTGGGACACATGCTTTTTCTTTTTCAGTTTCTGACACTTATCCCACTTCTTTTTTTAGATAAAGTCCCCCAGCATGTGACTGAGAGCATTAAAGCTGACTTGTTTTTTCAAAGAGGACCCCATGTCTGACTTTCATGTGAGCTATTTGCTTTATATTATAATTTTACATTAAATAATTGAAAGACCGAGAGATATGCCATATAATGACATCAGCCAAATTTACTTCCTTATAGAATTCCCAGAGCAATAACATGGCCATTAGTATTAACGTGGGATGTAATAAAATGCGAATCATGATCTCTCCCACATAACCATTTTTAGACTTCCTGCTTGCTTCAAGCTAGCTGAAACTAGAGTCCCACTGCCAAATTCAATGATATATTAACAGGAATCACTAAACTATGTAGTTGTAATCCATAAATGACCAATAATAAAACACTGATATGACAGCTAGAAGTGCACAGTAGCTCCACACTGAATAACAAATGTTTGAAGTTGCATGACAAAACCTTTTACCATTGGAGCTTGAACCATGGTGACCAATAACAGTTAATTCTCACAAACAAATAGTAGAGATTAGATTGTTACATTCTTATACTTGCAATTATGAATGTTGATTTAATAAAAGGCTACATTAAAATCTATAATCAAATACATGTGGGAACCATTAAAGAGAAGTTAAAATGCCCATGTTAAGAATGATGAGTCCATTTTGATATTGTCAATCACATTTACTTATTAATAAACAGCCTCTGAGTGTTGTATTATTTAATGTAAAATGTGATTATAAGTTCACGTGTTCACGTTACTCTTTGCAATAAAAGTAGCCATACAAGTAAATCTATCATTCAACTTCCCACAGAATATAAATCAAGGAACAATTATCACTTACTCTATAAATTTCTCAAGATACGATTTGAATTTTCCATAATGTAGCCCAAGACTCGCTGTTCCTTCGATCAAAAAAATTACATCCTTCTCTGTTTCATAAAGCATCATAGAAATGTGTGTCGGAATTTCACTCAGTTATCGTAGATCCGTGCCGTAAAACGGTCAATTTTTTCTATTCCGCTTCATAGACAAACCGAAAGCTTTATTCCCCTCTCTTAAGTCTTGACTGAGTCGATTCTTCCGTGTTTATATCGTATACTTTTAAAACTACGTCTGTTCCTAACCACGTGCGCCATTTCATCCAATCAGAAAAAGATAAACAAATACTTGTTCTTTTTCCCGTGCTTCCGTTTTAAATATAAGGCTTTTCAAATTGAAACCATTTGTTCAGCGCAATTAGGGCCGGTTGTATAAAACTTTTAACTACTTTTTTAATAGTTAAATCCTAGTTAACTCGGAAATATACGACTCTGATTGGCCAATTCTGTCACTAACTAACTAGCCTTTTATGCAACTGGCCCAGAACACCAGCTGTTCGTATAGTTTAGTCAATAAAACATAAATGTCTGTCCGTGATCATTATCTATGTTATTCTCTAACAAGTCGAAATTTATCCCAAAAAGTTCCTATATCTCATCAACTGTTTATTCGTAGGCGTACGTAGCGGTGGAATGGAGTGGGCCGTGAGGAACTGCAGCTCCCCCGCAAGTATGTAGTATTCTTAATAAGTTCGGCTACTTGTAGTCGACATTTGGGCATTTTTGTTGAAATCAACTTTGCACAGAAAAGTGCAACCTCGCAAGCCAGGCTCTTTGAGAAAAGTGTTAAGGCAACTTTTCAAGCACTTTTTATAACATTTTTCAACATTATACCACCAAACCTTTGTAATTTTGGGCAGCTCTTTCCAGCTGGGGAGCCAAGCAGCGATGAAGCTAACGCCCATTCATTTCACACTTGCAATTTTTCCTACCGGATTTTCTTCTTTTGATAGATGTGAACGAGTGATTTAGTTACTGATGTTCAAATAAAAGCTTTCATACATTCGTAACTAATTACGTATACTCGTTCACATCTATCAAAAGAAGAAAATCGCAGCAAAAGTGTAAACGAGCCTATACTAGATTTTCCTATGGCAGGAATGACCATTCACAATTCATACGTGAAAGAAACCACTTACAGATGTTTAAAATTGAAGCCACTTTCAACATAAATGTACTATGGTACATTGTGTTATGACAATGAACAATATATAGTCTTTATGTCTTATACAGAGTGTGAGTAATAAATATTTGTATAAAATACTATAGAACAGACATCCATACGACTACGCATACGGACTGTTTCAATTTTGCTCTATGAGTTTAGTTTAGTGACATATACGAGAGGGGCGGGTAAGAGGGCGGGGGCAAGGTTGAGAAGGAAGGAGGGGCTTGTTTAGGAAGTAAAAATGCTAGCCGAATCCGCCTACTCAAAAAAAATCCTGGTGGCGCCACGCAAAGTGCGATAACCCTGACTGTAACCGGGAGTCTATCGTTTATATTGGGATTTGCGAAGATTTAATTAATATATTGTATCAACAAAGCAGCTATTTCAGTTGGGACTTGGTATTTCAATAGCATTTTCAATGCTTCAGCAATAAACATTATTATACGCAAATTCACATTCCTATTTCGTTCACGTTATCACGATCACGTTAACAAAGGTGAAAAACGTCTTTGGCCAATCAGCGCTTTTGTTGACATTTTTATTATTAACCAATCAGACTCTTTGATTTTACGCTACCTCCGGTGGCACACAAGAAATTTACTAACAGTATAGTATGTTGAATAAAGCCTTCGGGGGGACAGGATTTTGAACTTTTTAGATTAAATACAACGGAATATGAAAAAATATTCATTTATCTAAAAATCTGTCGGCCAGATTTTCGCTGTCGGCCGGATTTTTGCGTACGTCGTTGTTTAAATGTCGATAGCATTAATACTAGACCTTAAAGCAAAAATCTGGCCGACAGATTTTTAGATAAATGAATATTTTTTCATATTCCGTTGTATTCAATCTAAAAAGTTCAAAATCCTGTCCCCCCGAAGGCTTTATTCAACATACTATACTGTTAGTAAATTTCTTGTGTGCCACCGGAGGTAGCGTAAAAACAAAGAGTCTGATTGGTTAATAATAAAAATGTCAACAAAAGCGCTGATTGGCCAAAGACGTTTTTCACCTTTGTTGATCACGTTATCACGATCACGTTATCACGGCCTGATCGGCCTAGAAATAATGGCTAAACGATCTTGGGTGGTCACGGTCACACGCTTCCACTGCAGAGCTGCAGAAATATTTCATGTAACTGACATGAATTTTTTAAATCAGACGTGATATATTACATTGACACGCTATATGATATATGCGTAATCGTTTCATTGAACTCGTAAGAACCTTTATAAACATTCGTAATCTTTTAGTTTTAGGCCACTTAAATTGAATTTTAACGGCTAAAAATGGATACCCCGTCGTACCATTTCTTACCCATGCATGGTCTCAAAATAATCAAATTCAAACTTTACACTAGAACAGCAGGGATGAGATTATGATACAAATATGAGCTTGGAATATTTCCAGGCATAATATCTGGCCGGTTTGGGTTGTAGAATTACGATCATCGAAATTTAAGGTTAAATGAAACTCAATCAAAAATTTTTGAAAATTGGCAATATGTTTGTAGTGTACAAGTACAAGCTGCCAAGGCCCCCCCCCCTTTCAAAAATAACGGGAAAAGTGCCCTTTTGCTGAGGTAAAGTGCCCTTTTTCTTTGTGGAAACGTCTATGCCAACGCAACAATATAATGATATAAAGTCAACTTTTTTCAACAATAATACGTACCAATGTTAAATGCCCTTTTCATCAGGCAAGTGCTCTAGACGTTAATGCCCCCCCAACTTAAATATGCTTCCTACGCCCCTGCGTACCAGCTAGGCGTATGATCAAATTCACATGATTTTCGGCTCTCTTCATTCTTCAAATCTCATACTGATCTTTAATTTTTCAAAAGGGGTCCAAGCTGACGATCGTCGGACTCGTTTTTTCAGACACGTTTCTATGCTTTTTAGTTCCTGCATTAACTCATTCGATTTTCTATCATTCGTCTTTTTGCCGCGATTTTTACTCAGTGTTCTGGGAATTGAACCCAGAGGCCAGGGAATTTCACTATCAAAGTTTAATATTAACATAAATTACATAGGAACATGCATGCCCATCTATTTCTACGAACGAAATTTCTGTTTGTCACTGATTAACCACTGATTATCAAATATCTCTTGAGAGACGTCAATCTTTGCTTTCAATTGGTACTATTTTTGCCCATTTCATCTATTTAATAAGTATTGTTATTAACGAAAATGCATCGAGGCTGGGTACCGGCGCCTCTTAAGTCGAGTAATTCATGAAACTATTAAGAATTTAGTGCATAGAAAGCTACTTTTCTTTCCGAATATCAGAATTGTCTGACTCGTTTCATAATAAAAAATCCAGTCACTTTGGCCCCAAACATGGACACTGTTTTTTTAAGGAGGGAAACCGGAGTACCCGGAGAAAAACCCTCCACCGAAATCGAAATGCCGAAGTTCCGAAACCTATTTCCGAAAAAGCCGAAGTTCCGAAACCTATTTCCGAAATAGCCGAAGTTCCGGAACCTAATGGGGCCCCCCAAACCTAACTATTTACTATTACAAAATACATTTATTTACAACTTATAACCTAAAAAAAAGAACAATATGCATGATCATTAAAAATGTCGCCGCTGCAGCATTGAATATTTGAAACGCCATATTTGAAACGCCATATTTGAAACGCCATGTTTGAAACGCCATATTTGAAGGTTGAAATGGGAATTAGCGCGCGCAATGTCGTGTCAGATAAACCCAGATGTGGATTCTCAATCATGTCCCTAAACCTAACTTAACCTATGGTGCATCCTATATCGCACCCTGGTGATCCTCCACAAACTGGGTTGCATGCCCCTATATGATTGTCCGTTAGTCAAACTCCCATCCAACCTTCCCAGAGACAACATTTTAAGCCTAAAAATGTCGCTCTTTTTGCATGATAGTGCGTCGCATACTTTAACGAATTTTCATTCCAACGTTAACACAATCTTATGTTCCCGCAGAATTACGATTTGTTGAAGTATTTAAGTACCATGTATTGACATCACGTATTTCAACATCGCTTTCAATTTCATTGCATTTTTCGCCGCGATTGCGAGCGCTGCGTTTTAAAGCTGGTTTGTCGACGACGCTTTAACGGTCTGAATGAACCCGGATCATGCATTAATGTCGTTGTCGGCCGAAACAGAACTTAAGGCTGTGTTTTAATCGTCCGTCAGTTGTTCCTAATTCAGACCGTGCGAACTCCACTTACTCCGGCGAAGATTTCAAAGCAAAAATATTCGTCCGAAAGTGCGCAGCGTGCAGCTGAAGACACTCCGTTCCGTATAAAACAATACAGAACAGGTGCCTCAGCGCGAAAAATCATTACAACATGGTACTTAGCGCCACAACAATTTTTCAAATAGAAAAACGCTGTCAATCGGCGCTTATAACGTGGACCCCATAAGACAGCTTTCAGTTTAGATCTGAATTCTAAGTGAAAAATATCTTGGAGCACAACGTTAACCGAACGCGCGCACTACGATAACGCTCGTCTGACTGAAGATCAAGAACAGCCATGCAAACTGGATATTAAAAACCAGTTTTCGGGAAAAAATCGATGAACATTGGCAGCTGCATGTGTTCTTAGTCTTCATCAGACGCTCCTGGTGGTTTGAAAGACTGCGCGCGCTGCTTTCATTTTGAAGAGTCGTCGTCGATTACCAAGTTGGAATCAAAATCCGCCAACTCTTATTGCGCGATCGAAATTGAAAGCCTGCATTTATAATTTTAAGTTCTGTCACGTTTTTGTTGTGAAAACAGCCATCATTATTGATGGTCCTATGACATGCATGAAGCTAATTTTCTTTGATGAAAATGTATGATGCCAAACTTAGTTGAGGTATCATGTATCTAATTCAAACCTCGCACATGCGACCGAGGAACCATGCAACTAGCAAAATTACACCTCAACTTTCAGTGTGAATATTGTTCATTCACTTCATTATTTCATCTCAGATTTTAACGTGAAAAATCATGCGCCAAATTTTGAAATTTCATGAACACCACCAGGAGATCTCAAACCCAGACTTAACAATAACCTATTTGTTATTTCATGCAAAGCTTATCTGGAAGTTCTGGATTCGAGATTGAACTACAGTATACCTATAGTACCTATAGTATGAACCTGAAAGTTTTTAGTCATCCTCTTCATCTTTAATCCAATGCAGCAGCTGAATTAGCGGTCGTTGTACATATCAGTGGTCGTCGATCTGTCATCGCATTTGTCTTCGGTCGTCGTCGTCGCGTCGTCCCTTGAATCATCGTCGGTCGTCTTCGACGTATACGTCTTCGTCATCTTTATACAATCCGATGAACATTCGAAGTCAATTAAGGATTATCTAAACCTTGCACAGTTCGTCCTTCTGAACTTCCGTTCAGTCGTTTTAAGAACCTCAGTTTCAGTTCGTATTCGTTTTCAGGCTTCAGTTGGTTCTCAGAACCTTAATTCGATTTTCACTTCGGAACTTCAAGTTTTTAGAACAGCTTACAGCCTTCGATTCAAATCAACACCAACGGTCACTCTGGCGTAGGAAGATCAATGCATGTGGTTGGGTCAATTAGGATGTTCAGTTTAAGCGATTGGAAACTTCTAATCAGGACAAAGATGGTTTCATTTCGTCCAGTGTCTTGATCTGATTGTTCATGATCACATGTTGTTTAATGGATCATTTGCTTTTGACCTCCGTCATGGCTTATACTTCATGTTAAGATTGGATCATAAAGGCAATAACAATTTGCACGCAAAAGCATAATTTAGCCTGAATATAATTTTATCCAAAAAACTAATTAAAATATCGTATTGAAAAGTATTTTCAATTCCCTAAAGAACCTATTCCTGCATATAGTCAGGAAACAAATTAATCCTAAAAATTATTAGCTCAAATGTTTGTTTTTGGTGCAAGCGAAATCATGAATGCTTGCGTGTTTTTTCACTTTAAACCGATGCAGACTAGAGCATTATATACTATAAACCCCTTGCTAAAATCGTTTATCATGCTCGTAGGTTTAGGCGCTCACGGGAGCGGATTATTTTGCCTATAGCTGATGCTTCAACACAGAAATACAAATGAGGGGCCCCTTTCACCCGTATTTCCTCATTGTTAGAAGCGGCCAGTTAAATCCAACTGGTTGGATAGCCTAAACTGCGAGTTCGAAAATTGAAACTCAAGAAAGGTAAACTGAATATTATGCAATAGTCTAAGCATCACATGCACGCTTCAAGAATGATTTTGATAGTCAAATGCCAAACAACTAAAGAAAATGTTCCCGTCAGAAATGACTCGCGTTGTTAAATTCCGACCCTCTGCATATAGCAAGGTCAATAAATAAGGACATAACATGACTGTAAGCATATAGCAAAGTCAGGAAGTACAAAATACGATCATAAGCGTATAGCAGCGATACCTAGAAGTACGTTTAGAACCTGACTGTGAACATACAGCTTTACAGCGAGTCTTAGCAAACATGACCCGTACGCATATAGCAAAGGTCTGGGAACGAGTACAAATGCCAGTCAAAAGGACATCTCCAAAAATTCAAACATGTGAGACTTCAATTAGGCGAGTTTCTGAAAATCATTCCATCCGTGTACACTGTAGACCTTCTGCTCAATTTCCGAATACCTTTGAGGTTCCAGATGTGCTCTTGAAGTACAAGCCTTCGTGAACACTCCAGGAACTTCGCAGTTCAGTTGCTTGGACCAAAACAAGCTCCGGACGCTCGGCTGCGAAGTCGACTCTCCCCGAATGCCAATCGGGCCCGCAGGCCTCCCGAAAGATGAACACACGAAGGGCGGCGCCTCCCCCCACATGCACACAACTGACACCCGGGGAAAATCAACATCACAGTCGATCATTCAAAGCATGCTCCGGTACAGGCGACTGAACTACGAAGTCACTGGAGCATTCACAAAGATTCCTACTTCAAGAGCACAACTGAAACCTCGAAAGCATTCAGAAATTGCACAAAAGGACAACAATGGACAAAAATGAAATAATCCCCATGCCCTCACCCCATTGAAGTCCAACTTGTTATCATCAATTTCCTTGCCCTTGAAAGTGGCACCTGCAATTTTTATTAGAAAACGTCGGACGCATTTGCGAGCGCTTAAGGATTGCCTTCAGTCACCTTTCTTGGGGCGTTTCCTTCGAAGATAGCGAACGATTCTTTCTAAAAATTGGAAAAAGAGAATTGATGAACAAAAATTGACAGGGAAAAGCTTGAAACTATGTACCAACATGTAAAGCCAGTATATTTATAGATATTTGTTCAGTTTCTACAAATTAATCGTAAGGAACATTTTGATGTTTTAACACTTCATTGACAAATTCAGTGAAAATAGTTTTTTTGAGATTAGTGTCATCAACGCTGTTAATTTGTCGGTGACGCCGATATCTATGCGGGGTGGTACACGAAGGCACAGACGAAAAACAGTCCATGCAAAGATCTGTGGGACGTTTTACATTGGATTTGTAGAAAACCTTTAATCTTGCTCCGATAACGTTTGTGTATTGTGTTTTAACGGGGTCTAGATTTTGTGAAACGACTCTATAGATAGAATTATAGACAGTCTGGCCTTATAAAACGAGTTGGAAGAAGTATAAGGTTCAAATTAAGTTAATAAGGACGATCATATCACAAATAAGAATACAAAGAGTTAACTTCGCTGAAATTCAAACGGAGCCAATTTAAAAGTACACTCATTAAAAGCAGAGTCCCATTGATTCATAAAACAAATCGACAAACTTATTAAAGAGTTTGAAATTTAAACGAAACCAATTTATAAGTTCTCATCACCTGCATAAATGATCGATTTATACAAAGAAAACAAATCGAAAACCCATTACATGCATGCCCATGGCCCATAGAGAATTATAATGTAAAATCTGGTGTCGCATGAACTAACCATGAACTAACCGCATGAACTGGTCATTTCCCTTCAAATCTTGCGCTTTTTCTCCCGTTTTTGCTCTAAAGTGACAAGAAATGGCAGTGTAAGTGTTTGAAAACGTATGATGGTTGAACTAGTTTAATATTTAGAAAAAATCGGTCTGTATATATGGTGGCAGCCGGCATTAAAAATGTTTGCATGCATTCAGACTCAACAAAACGCGTTGATCCATTACGGAGAACATTTAGAAATAGGTTATCTTTAAGTATAAATACCTGTACAGACGTAGTCATCAACAGCGCTAACAAGATAGACGCCTTGTTAGTTGATCATGAAAGGTTCGCTTCTCGTGGACTTGAAGATTTTTCACAATTCTATGTCCAAAACGTCTAGCCCCAACAAGGAAATGTTCAATAATGACTTTCTGTATCAAAGCACGCCCAACTCCTCTCCAAATTTCCCTCCTTACGTCATCAAATTATTTGGCTCTGATTGGTCAGCAAGAACAAGGAATGCATGCTATTGTTTTTAACTGAACGAGAGCACAAGTAATTTGCATGCTTTACTAAACTTTCAAAAGAAAGAATTCGGGGCTCAATCCTGTGAAGAAGTAAACAAGATTATGCATATGAAGCTGTTATTTCACATATGTCAAAAAGAGCGAGAAAGCCTGTTTTGTGTCGAGTCGGACGAAGTCACTACACGGCGCATTAAAAATATAACATGTGAAATATTCGCTTCCATTTTTTCGTAAAACTAATATCGCAAGCTTGGATATTTTAAAAACCTACGCCAGTGCATTCCATGCGCTTGTCAGTCATTATACTAGTACAAGGAGGAAGCTTTTTTTATCAGCCATTACATTGTCATCAGCCACCATAGCAGCTCTTTAGACAATTTCCACACTAAACAATTCCTATTCGTCAGGGAAATGGGGAGCCACACGAGCTTTTTGAATACAGGCGTTAGCCTTAACTGTTGATAATCATATTTTTGTGTATGGTTCTATGTAATTTTAGACAACCATTTATCTGTATTTCTCTTTTCCGACACAAAGCCATGCATGCTCTTTGATTCACGTTTCTAGACCCCGTCTCCCAATAATATCCACCTTTGAAATCTTTAACGCAATATTTTTATTTTATTGTATAATTAGAAATTACACATCGATTCCGACTTGTCTAATTGTTATAGCATAAACCAACTTATGGATGAAGAAATTTATTAGCACAAAAAATTATGAGTTCGTCCAATTTTCTGTCATGAAATATCGGTAGTATTATTCCCGCCAACAATCAGTCCATTTGTCGGTTTTTACTAAAGGCCATGCTACACGGTACAATTTTTCTTGCAACTTGCAATGCAATTTATTTTTAAGAGATGTAAATTAGTGAAGAGTCTTGCAGAAGAAAAGTGCATGAAGTGTAATACACTTGTGTGTATCCCAAATATACATCTCTCAAAAGTAGAATTGCATTGCAAGTTGCAAGAAAAGTTGCACCGTGTAACAGGGCCTTTTAAAAACGGTTAAAGTATTTCCAGGTAATGTACAAATGTTCTTAGATAGTCAGTACCTTATTAACCTAGATCTACAAGAGTCTTTAAAATAACATTTCCATTTTTAAAAAGTTAATCCTATTTATAACTAAGAAAAATATACAAACACTTCTTATTTAAAACTGTTCATTTCTGTAATTCTTGGACGACTTTAGTATTCTTCCACGAGATGGATAAGCAACGCTGTGACTATTAATCCAAGAAGCTATAAAGGAAATTGCACAGTTAAGAGGAGAGAAAATAAACTTGAAGGCACCTGAGGTGATTGAGGGATTCGGAGAGAAATTTGTAACCTAAAGTAATGCCAGTAACCACGGCAAGCAGACAATTTCAGAAAATACAAAATAAAACTGATAAAACAAGATAAAACAAGAGTGTAAATGCAGAGGAAGTGATATTTCGTCTTTTTTCCCAGACTATTGACGATCTCTTTGAGATAAAAGCGAAATATCACTTCTTTTGCATTTACACTCTTGTTGTATCTTGAATATCAAGAACATGAGATGACTATCTTCAGAATCTGTTTTATTTTGTAAAGTAGTTCCATGTCCAGACACTACGAATATAATTCTAGTTAAGGATTAATCTTGAGGTAATGTCCATTGTCCAGTTAGGTTTGCGCATCGGTACTGCTCATAACAATGAGGGGCCGCAAATTGTCTAAATATCGTATGTTTGGGACATGTCGCAGCTCTCGGAAGCTTTCGTCCAATTGGATAATGCTTTTCTATGCTTTCTAAAGAACGAAGCTATGTTATTGGTTGAAACAGAAATGTATTGTAAAGTTCAGCCAATGAAAATCATTCTTGCGAGGAGCTGCGACACTACCCGTATGTTTCGGATTTTTTAAAATTTTTTTTGGCTCCAGCTTATATTGTGTGAGATAAGCAACCAATAATGTGTCAAGACAGTTCGTCGCATTTCAAAAAATTTAACAGTTTAAAATGCAAACAAAGTGCTTGCTTACATCACTAGACATCATCTTTAAACAAGAGCAGAATATTTCATAAATTGATTCAACAGAATATTGTATCGGTAATGACACCACTAATGAACTAAGTTCTGTGACGAGCTTATACGCCAAATACATACATCAAAGACATGCAGTTGATAATGAAGCTATTGTTTTTAACGTAATCATGCAGCACATAAAAAGTATAAAGATTGGAACAAGCCGTACTTGTAGTATTGAAACTCCAAGTCCAACAGCGCCCAGTATAAGTAGATGGTCCTCGATATATTCTGATAACTTCTGAATGCAACCCTTCAAAAGGAAAAATATTTTAGGGACTGTTTAGCACGTTTTAAGCACGTACAAAGCCTGCAAGGTTTATTGTATTATCTTCATATTGTATTATCTTCTTAACTTATGAAATAGTTGCAGGCAAATATGCCCGCACGGTATTTATTCCACCTTTCTCGCATTTTTCATTGCCATTTCAGGGATCGGCAGAATATTCACGAAACTGGTAAAAATACTCAAGCGAATTACATTTCAACCCATGCGTTGGTGATCATTCCATATGTCAAGAATCCACAAATAAATATTTTATCATGGTTGTGATGTTGTGTTTTTTTTGTCACATAAACACAGTCATGTCTCAATGGTGGCGTGCACTTCTCGTGAGACTAGGTTCCAGTCATGCATACTAATTAGAATTACTGGATTATTTATGCTGTTTTATCAGCAAGAGAAAACATTGAAACTCTGACATGGAAAAAACCACCTCTCTGCAAGAGGGAATCCATGCACGTTTACCCGACGCAAACAGACACGGGTCACGGGTTGAACTCGAGTCAATTCAATGACATTTACTTTTCTAATTACTAAGGGCTGGCTTCAACTGTCGCGTTTTTTGCACGTACGTACACGCACGTGAAAGCTTAATACTTTCTAAGTTGTTGTATGATTAATTTCATGCCAGAAAAAAACCACAACAAGTCATCAACAGAATCCAACCCCATGCATCTATTCAAGTGTCATTTAAATGATTTTAATTAAATTTTTATGTAGCTACGTACAAAAAACGCAACAGTGGAAACATTCCTTAAGGAATGTGTCAAACGTCATGTTTCTCATGTGCCGAAGGCATTACCAACTTTAGATAACGAGGCATCTCAACTACTTTTCTACTGTTTTTAGTGCGTTTGGCACATGGGAAGAACGACGTTTGAACTTTGAAACGGGCCTAAGTAAAAAACGAGAAGAACCCTTAGTTCTAGCCCACGAACCCACTTTCAAACTAGCCTAGGACGAATGTACCTTTTCGCTAATTACGCACAACATTTTAAATTTAGAACCACCTTAAATGAAACGGATTAGAGTTTTAATCTTACGAGCCACGTGCAAAGATGCAAAACACCTTCTTCAACACATGCATAAGACACACATGCCTTCTTCAACACATGCATTTTGACCAATAAATGTGGAAATAAACCATAACATGAGAACGAGGCTTAGGGGCTAAGACTGCGAGCGATCGTTCTTGCGTTATAGCTTATTTGCATTCTTATTTGCCATGCATGTGTTGAAGAGGGTAATGATTATTTTTACAAGCGTTACCTTGTAGTTGATATTAGAGGGATGAGTCACTTCACCACAGCCTTCCACTATTGGTGGTTTACAACAGCTGTCAGGAACTTTTAACTTATCACTGCTACCAGCTAACGTTTTATTTCCATTTCCACTACCAAGATTAAACCAAACAGTCTCATTCCACTGATAGTATCTCGTGGCTCCACAACACCAGTACTGAAACAGATATACAGCACACTGGTCAGTATCACCGGTTCGTAAAGTCGTTAAATATACGGCTACTAAAGGCCATGTTATACACGGTGCAATTTTACTTGCAACTTGCAATGCAATTCTACTTTAAAGAGATGTACATTTGTGAAGAGTCTTCAAAATGTAAGTGTAAGATACGCCTTGGAGTGTAATACAGACAAAAGTTTTTGTAATTGCCAAATTTACATCTCTCAAAAGAAGAATTGCATTGCAGGAAGTTGCAGGAAAAATTGCACCGTGTAACAGGGCCTTAAAACTGCCTCAATCTTTCCTAAACTGCATAAACGACGGATTTGTAACAAAAATAATGATTATGTGTATCACGTGTGTGAATTAACATTGTAATGGTCTTGTTGAGAAATATCCGTCGCCCAGATATAAAATACTAACAACAAGCTACAGTTTAAATCTTAATATTTAATCAATATCAATAAAAGTAGAAGTCGCCTTCGCAAGTCACATTTCATTCATTCCAAAAACCCATCTCTCAAATCACTATTGTAAATAACGTTCTACGATTGGTTGAAATTAATTTAATCAGTAATTACGTAACTACATCAAGATAAAAGGTTAGTCGCTGGTCGCATTAGTAATATATTAGTATATGATTCAAATAAAGTTTATATGGCACCATTAGTTTCGACAGTTTACACAGTCTGAGTTACCAACGGGAGAACTAAGTTAAAAAATTAGCTTGGCCACAGTGGAACACTAACCTGCGACATTTGGTTTACTAATCGAATACTCTTTTAACAGAGCCACTGCCATGCTGGATAAAGACGGTTTTCGAACATATAATTTTATATTGGTGATAAATTTGCATGGAACCCAATCTAGTCCCATGTGTCTTAAAGTTACTGCATGCGTGTGCATGTGAAGCCCGTTTCAGAGGTCAAACATTTTTATTATGCGCCAAACCTAATGAAAAGTCCGAGGTCTGAAACTCGGTTTATTAATTTTGTGGCGGTGTTACTCTGAGTTACCAACCGGACAAGCTGAAAAATTAGTTTGATTACGATACATGCTCTTATTCAAGACTAGCCACCAGCTCAAGCAAAAGATAAGCTGCTATTGCGGAACTCAATCTAGTGAATCTAGTGCCTTCCGTATCTGTATAAGCACAGAATACCTAACAGAAGTAGAACTCCTGTACTTTTTTCGTAAGTTCTGATTCGTCATGATTCGTCATTTAGCAAGTGCATTTTTTTGAGGCAGTCACCCCCCTGCCAATATTAAAATGCCCTTATTTTAGACATTGGCAGGGGGGTGACTGCCTCAAAAAAATGCACTTGCTAATTGACGAATCATGACGAATCACACTTACGAAAAAATAGTATAGAGTTCTACTTCTGTTAGGTATTCTGTGGTATAAGGTTATAATGTCAGTGTGTATGCATGAATACTCTAAACAAAATACTAAATTGTTCCTGCCTTTTCTTCGAAATTCCTATGTTGTTTTGTGTTCGATCTTTTGCGTCGCATTCCACGTTTTCTTAAGCTTACTATGAGTCTCATAGTTTAACTATAGTGAACAGCTGCATGAGTTTGGGTTGGAATGACGTGTTTATACGACGGTTGAGTGGATTGACACGACAACCTGCAGCCAGCTTATTGTACATTAAGATTAGATTTAGCTTGGCTTGGGATTCCAAATTATGTAAACGTTACAGAACTCGACGCGACAATGTTTAACAACACCTTCGACTATTTGGACAAAACGATTGACAATAAAATCAGTACTACTCTAATTCTTCACGTATGTAAGCTATTTGGCTTGCTCGAAATCAGGTTTTCATACGGTAAAAATGGATGAACGTTTATACGAGGTTTTACGTGCTTACACGAGGTTTTACGTACTTACATGAGGTTTTACGTGCTTACACGAGAGGTTTTACGTGTTTACATGAGGTTTTACGTGCTTACATGAGGTTTTACGTGCTTACACGAGGTTTTACGTGCTTACATGAAGTTTTACGTGCTTACATGAGGTTTTACGAGCTTACATGAGGTTTTACGTGCTGACATGAGGTTTTACGAGCTTACATACGTACCGCGTGAACGTAGCCTAATACATGACAGAAAAATTGTAATTAATATTTGCGAATGACCGGCGAAAATAAGTTTACTTATGGCTAATAAATCTTTTTAATTATCTATGGTTTACCTACTGTATGCTTTTTAGGACAACCCCTTGCCATGCTAAATCCACTTATATTTTGACATTCCTATTTTTACCATTCTATCATGCATGCATGGCAGAATGGTAATCTAGTGTTTTGCAATTCTTGTGTTTAGTTATAAAATTATATCATGATATATAACTAAACACAAGAATTGCATAACACTATATACAATAAAAATTGTGATTTAGCAAATACACCAGTCCATTCTTGCATCAAATGTGGAATAACAACTGCCTAAAAAGGCCAACAAAAACACTTCTCGACGTTTTCACTAAAAGTCTTGTTTGGAGAGTTAGCTCATACTAATCAGTATAGAAGTGAACTTTCCTGACGAAGGCCCTCAAGGCGAAACGTCGAGAACTGTTTTTGTCACATCCTCTCATTTACATGCAATGCGAAGTTGTTTGAAGCCGTTGTTTCAACCTACATCTATATTTATATTATTCAATAGTTTGATACTTTACATTTGCTTTCACGCCAACACAGTATATGTGTCGCTGGCTGAGGACATAAAACAGACACCTTACAGTTCTGACATATATGGGCGCAGCCAGCCACAAAATGACAACAGAAACCCGCAATAGAATCAAAGAACCTCACTATTAGGAATTTCCACTGCATCTATATTCGTAGTGCTCTTCAAGAATGCCTGACTTGATATTTCCATCACTAATTTCACTACTTTATACATGTTTATACTATGAACTATACGTGAGCAGGGCCTGGACACTACCGTAATATAGAAAATATAAATCCTACCTTTTCCTGTGCTTTATCGATTGCTTTTGTTTCCTTATCGTCGATTGCATATTTATTCATTGCATTCAAGAAACTGTCTTCTAATTCATTTTCAAGCTATAAGAACAACGAGAAATGAATGAAAGGAAAAAGATTGTGTCACAGGCACGAACACAAATGAGTCGCAACGTCCATCCAAGACCAAGTTGTTTATTAAATTGGAGTACACTCACTACACCGTTAAAACTGACTGAAAATATTTGACTTCATGTATCTCAAAGTATAGAAAGAATGAAAAATGAAGATATTTTTAGAACAAAGTCGATTTGTTCTAAAGAAATTTATAGTTTAAACGGCATCTTGTACAAGTCATATACCAGGTATTTGCTTCGTTGCTTTACTTGTTGAAATTGTTGGCAGGCAAGGCAGGTCAAGCATTTTTAACCAAACGCACGCTGGGTAATTTGATCGACTGCATTGAGACAGATGTTGCAATTTCTAGAAATATTTGTTACCGTTGAGCTGTATGGCCTCAAATAATTATGATAGTTGCTCCAGTATGACCGGCTAGTGTAAAACTAAAAGTGCTTAGGACCACTTAAGGCGCGTGCAGGAATTAACGCACGATTTTCGTGCGTTCGTTTAGCTGTTACAAAAGAAGTTTTGATGTCGAGCAAGCAATAGGCTAAGGTGTTTGTTGCACAAGGATGAGGTTATTGGAGGCATCCAGTACGACGGTGGCGAAAGAATAGTTTTGGCCAATGATAAACTGTTCAACAAATTACCTCCAGCTTCTAGGAATTATCAGACTGCAAGGAATTTTTCTTTTGATGGCAGGGGTGAATAGTCCATGAATCTACTGCCATATTGGGCACTTTGATGATATTAAAAAAATCATATACAAACCTGGCCTCTATAAGCAAAAGCGACAATACCAGCCGATAATTCCACCAAGAACACACAAACTACCATAACAAAGAACTAAAATATTGAAAGTATAGGGATTAGTCTATACTGTTCATAGTATAATTTTACAATCAATATTAAAATTATAGAATTGCTAATTGAGTAATTCTATTTAGAGATAGTGATTAAGATGAAGTTTTGATATCAAAGTTCAACAGGGTTGTGTTGTGGTGCTAATTGAAAAGCCAAAAATAGTATTACAAAAAAACTTCGCTAGTAGCTACCATATGTTGTTCACTAATATTTCACAAATTACTAATTGATATTGCTGAAATTTAAAAAAAAACCATTTAAGAAAATTGAAAGCTTAAGAGACAATATTTGTATCACAATTTGAAAATGTGCCATCAACATTACCCACAATGTCCCTATAATTATTAAAAATATATACTCACAGCAATAAGCATAAATCTGTTATCTTTGATGCTACCACAGCATCCCAGGAAGCCAACAATTATGACCACAATACCAGCTACGATCATTAACGAAACTACTATGATGTAATTATCACTTCCTAACAGACTACTATATTCAAATCTGTCAACCAATGTCCATATTCCAACGCCTACTAAGGTCACCCCAGCACACTAAAAAACAAAGATGTGTGGTCTGATTATCAAAGATGTGTGGTCTGATCCTGCTTACAATTTGTATTACTCTAATCTGACTACAAGTGCATTTATATCAACTTTCACAACTATTATGTTTAGAGTGAAAAAAAAACACTATAATTGTTCAATATTTGGTTCGATAAAAACATTGAACTGTTGGTTATATATACATGAGCGCATAAGGCAGGAACTGAATCAAGGCAGGCCATACATATATAGGATGCATCCAAACATATTGCAAGCCTTATATTGGGTTGCAAGTGAAATTATTAATAAAGATGCACAAGTAAGTATTTTAAACAATGCAAAATAATATATATAGATCTAAAAGAGGAAAGTTGATTGTATTAAAGGATGCAATTACATGTGAAATTATAGATAGATCTTTTCAAATGTATGTAGCTGAACTCCTGTTAGTCAATCCAGTTAATCCATATCAAGAAATATTTGCATTTAGATCTGTATTCTAATGGAGTTATTGGCAATGCACTTATATTATAAGGATTTTAATATTAGGAAGTTAATTTCTGACACTCCAAGTTTCTCCACAAAGTACAGATTGACATTACTAATATTTAAGCTAGGAGCCAGTTATGGGTTCTTAAAATTCTCCTTAGTATAAAATATCATGTGTTAGGTCAGTGTGAATGGAGAAATATGAAAAATATCACTTAATTTTCAATTCTACATGCAAAAGGGGGTCATATATAAGTAATATAACTATATGGCTGAATCTTTCTAATGCTGACTAAACGATTTGTTCATGCAAGTTTTCTTATTATGCGTATCATAATAGTCTTATCTCTATTGCACAGTATATAAATAGAAAATTATATATAAATATTAAATTATATATCAAATTATATTATGTTATATTCACAACTCAAAATCATAACTAACACGTGAACCAAACATGGAATTAACGACCAAGTATCCCCATAAGCCCGAATCCCCATACGCATTTACGGGAAATGTGGCATGCACAAAAAGTTTAAAAACAAGAACTACACTGCGTTAAAATTCAGGACAGATTATAGAGCATAATTTAGGTCACTGAATACTGGCTATTTTTATCGTTCATTAATTACATCGGCTGCCAGTATTGAAACAAGTTTATATACTTCAAAGTTCACGGTTATTAATGCCGAATAGCTCTATTGCTTGTCTCTCGATACTGTTTATAAAAATCACAGACACAATCCGAACAGTGGATGATAAATGCACATGATATAAGCGAAACAAAGAAATGTGTAGCCAGAATCGACAATCAGAATAATCAACACATTATCGCGGTCAAAAAATTATAAACATACAATTACAAACCCGATGACAAACAGCGAATGCAAATTTTGCGAATGATATATGTTAAATCCATACACAGTTCAGGATAATTTTAGACTTATAATCCTGTACCAGGCTATCTCAAATGTGGTTTTAAACAAAATTGCTGCGACCAGTTTATGACATGGTCTTCAGTTAATAATATATATAGAGTTACCGCTATCTGTGTGTGGCTTGGCAAACACGAAGCGGCTTTGAAAGACATATATTGGACCTGTTAAAAAATCGCCCAATATTTCCTTTCCTATATAAATATTATACACAGAATTGCCTATATTTTGCCTAATATATGTCTCAATATTGAAGTAATTTTGAGATATGCAACGTTTTCACCAAGGCTCAATCGAATGATGGTATTTATGAAACGGTGTTATGATTAAGGTTGTCTAAAATAAAAATTGCATTTACTTACCCAGAATAGAAAGATAAGAACATAAAGAATAGTCTTTAGACATTTCACGTTGAAGCAAGCGTTCTCCTTCATAGTAAATTATCGATATTTACCCACAGTAAATAACAGAAATAACAATCTGACTACAAACACTCCCAGTTATGGCTGTTGCGTTCTTTTCATTCCGGTCAACCCTAATCGAGTTTAGGAATGATCGAGGGACAGACTGCGAGGATCAGGGGGTCGAGGGTAGAATATCGAGGGTCGAGTTTTCCCGCATTTTTAAATCAACAATTCGAAGTTATCGTTGAATAAGATACGTACAATTGCCTATTGATACTATGAAATATGGTCGATTGATAGCAGAAAATTTAGTTCACATGCACTGTTTGACAAAATATTAGAACACTATCTCCTCCCCCGCTTAAAAAGGAAAATTTTTCGGCAGAAATTTTCCATTGTCATGACGGGAATCTCAGCTCATGATCACATATATGTTGCGCTCTACCACTACGGCGAGCTTAATTTCACTGATACATACTTTTAAATTAAAAGCGACATTGGCGAAAACTTTCGCCATACGCTGATGCGCTGACAAGGCGGAAAAAATTACTAGAAATGTTAAAAATGCCCTCACCCGAAATACGATACGGTCTAATGCATGTTTATAATTAAAATGGTCATCAATCACTCGAAAAGCGTCTAAGATTTCAAATTCATCTGCTGCTCATATACTTATCGCTAATACGACAATGATATGCTATTTATGCCATGCGGGGTTTTCCCTGTATGCTAGCAAGATTGTATCATGAGTGATTGAGAATTAAGATGCAAAAAATCTACGATGTGGACGTGAAGTAAAACTGCCATTATTTCTACAGTATCGCAACAGGGATGAAAATTATTGACTCCTTTCGGTAAGCAAAGTCAGGGCCGTATAAATTAAAACTGATTTGGTGCATCTTAACATCGCCACAAAGCCACATCGCCATAATGCGATATGCGCTTTTTACAACTGATCGTAAGTATAAGGATAAACCGTGTGATAAGCGCTACATTAACAAAAGTGCAAAAACCGTCCTCACACTAGCCGAATTCATATTAGAGACGGGAAACTCATCTTAGACGGGAAAGTTGATCGTAAAAGCCCGTCTAAATATGAATAGGAATGGATAAATTTATACGTGTGATGGGTCGGGTAATGCTAAAAAGCGTATCGTAATTATTATACGCTAAAATTTTTGTTTGTTTTCTCTTAGCCTTGTTTCGTCCTTGACTGTGCTGATATTGCAGAAACTCGTCTCATTGGTCCATCTAAATGCAAATTTAAGACGAGTTTCTCGTCCAGACGGGATTCCCGTCCAGTGTCCACCTTACCCGTCTGTTTAGACGTGAAAGTTAGACGGGTAAATTCGGACGAGAAACCCGTCTGTGACCGGATTCACATTACTCATTAGACGAGTTTCCCTTCTAAGACGAGTTTCCCGTCTCTAATATGAATTCGGCTAGTTAATCACGCAGCTGTTTTATATCCGCCATTAATTATTAACGCAAAACCCGCCCCGGAGGTACTATGTTTATGCTCCAAACACAGAATGGCATGCATTCTTTAAAATAATTTTTCACGCTGTATGCAAGGTTTGTTACAACAAAACGTATTTGTTTGCCTCATAATTGCACATATAGCTGAAATAACGTGACCAGGGGCCAGTTGTATAAAACCCTTTAACTACACATACTTAAATCCTACTGAGTTATCTCAGAAATACACAACTCTGATTGACCAATTCTGTCCCTAACTACAGTTAAAAGTTAACTAGTCTATTAGTTTTATACAACTGGCCCCAAACCAGTTCAAGCGCGCACTCTGACGTTTTAAGCGCCTTGGTAGCAACCACAATGAAGTGCGCTGAAAAAAAACGAAACTGCATGTTCGACCATTTTTGTCCGGCTTCCTGTTGGACTTTTCTGGTCGGGCCTAACCTAGCATTGAACCTACCAAGGATCAAGGTAATTGCACATTCAATTTCTGCTTTACTTCCATTGGTTCCTTCTCAGGAGGGAAGGGGGGGGGGACACCGCGGAAATTGGTAACATTGAAAAATACTTAGCCGCAATTCTCAATACTTAGACTTCAAACTTGATGAGAAAAAATATTTATAGATACTACACAAAATATGTCTTGCACAAAAGATTTGAAGCTTGCACACGGCAAAAATGAATCGTCTGAATTAATAACCTTGTGTACACTTTAAGCCGCAAAATGGCCATTTCACAGCGGTCAGATGTGTATGATGAGCTGCCAAAAGATTGCATAATGCGTATTCGGAAAAAACCCGAACTTTTTAACGTTATTCAATAGTTTTCTCTTTGATGCAATACAGCAATGCACAATGTGAACCAGTGATCAGATTTTCGGGTTGAAACTTCATAAACACCAAATTCTGCGGTGTTGGGGGGGGGGGTTAGCTGCAGAATTCCAGCATTATTGATCATGAAGTCGGGAATTTGTACTCTTAATTGGGTCTGGTAATCTTAACTGAAATCATAAGGTAATAAGGCCCGTTCACACTTGCAATTTTTGCTGCAATTTCATGTCTGCGATTTTCCTCTTTTGATAGATGTGAACGAGTGATTTAGTTACTGAAGTTCAAATAAGAGCTCTTATATTCAGAACATTCGTAACTTATTACTCGTTCACATCTATCGAAAGGAGAGAATCGCACATTAAATCGCAGCAAAAATCGCAAGTGTAGACGAGCCTATATATATATTTAAGCCTGTGCGCAAAGGGAAAATAGTGCAAATAATATATAGTTCTCGCTGTGGACGAACGTCAATAGATTATGGTGATATTTTCGTAATTATTTAAAATTTTACACGCAGCTATTAACTTAAAAGGTTCTAGTTAGTGGACTGTAGTGTTGCCGATTATCTCAGTGTTCGTAGATGCTCAAAGATAATATTTTTCCGCTATAGCATGTACTTCTCTCGGGGTAAGATTAATCCGTTTCACCTCTGGTTGCTGTGGTCTATACTGTTGATCTAACCTTAGAAAAACTGCCCAAACTAGCTAAAGAAAACAAGATTCATTATCAGATAGAAAATGTGCTTTGTTTAGTAACCATATCTTCATAACTTTCTCTGATCGCATCGCAAACGTCTAGGCAAAATATATGCATGTCTCGCTGTCACGCTGCATGTCAGTATATTGCATGTTGTGGATGAACTGATATCACAAAAATGTTTTCATAACCTTTACTACCACTGATTTCGGGTGTCCCTCCAACTTTGCTCGACATGCAGAGTAGTAGGACCATTTGCTTTAGAGATGTATATATTAAACTGATGTGAACTGCAGCCATCACAACATAGTACCTGGACGGGGTGTATTTCTTGTTTTCACGGTAAAGGTCGGTGTACAGACAAATGTCGTAGATATGACAGAATGTCATTGTGAAAGTGAAGAACAATGCCGGGCAGGTACAGAATAACTGACCTGATAAATAATTAACATTTACAATATTTGCTTTCTGCATAATGCAACAAGTAAGGCTTGTTTCGCATTATCCATTAACGTTGCCTTAATTAAGCTAGTTATTTAAATCAGAATGCGTTCAACGAGTTGTTTATAAAGTTAGCAGGACGCCTAGGCAGGTGCTGCATGTCGATAATTTTTTGAGTACAAAATTTAAAATTTTGTTGTTTGAAACTCTGGACATACTATGCGTCACGATTTTACATTTTGTCATAAATCCTGGTAAAGGAAGTAAGAAATAATATAAGCCCTATGCTCCTATACACAAAGCTAGCGTATGTTTTCTAAAGATGGATTTATTATACTAGAGTGGCCATAATGATATATCAGAGGGCGGTTTACGTAGACAGTTGTTTATTTCAGTATGATAATTCCGTGGGGATTAAAGAGGAAAATATATCCTTGCACATTTAAAGTACGAAGGTCCAAGGTTCAATGAGAATAATTATTCGGGCGTTATGCAGCTACAACATTTCGCTGTTTAATTACCGTAATTTGCGATAGTTTAGGTGTGAAACTCGCTATTACTGGGATGGGATAAGTGATATATTTAGATGGATATATAATCTGGAGGGGCCGGATTATTTGTATTACGGTGGATTATGCTTAAAGCGCGCCAAAAACGAGGGGCTTATCACATTCTAAGATCATGGTGCATAGGTAAAGTAATAAAACAGATAAATATCTGACTTGTTGGCCGGTTCAAGGCTTTTGGTGGATGTTAATAATAGCAAATATTACTAGTTCACGATTGTCGTCACGTTGAGTTCAGTCACGCAAACTTCAAATAACTTCAATGTACGACTTCATAGGCCAGCAGCATATTTCGGATAAAGAATCGGACTATTGACTGTGTTAACCTCCCTTTCTGCAAGACTCTCATGTAATAGATCCTCATAGTGAAGGATGGCGCCAAATTTTTAGTTGCAAAACGCAAGGACTATCCACTCGTTTTCCTCTTGAATTTGTTATTCCCTTAACTCTATTTGGTCATGATTTATTAAAGTTCATTGCTTTTGCCAATATCATTCTAACACTATTTTCATATTAGCAAGCTAAAGCGTGAGTGAGTGAATGCCTTAAACAACTCTAAAATATACCGTGAAACTAATATCTTGATTATATGTATATCTTTTACACGATAGTATTTTGAGTTGCAATTGCATGCACAATGTACGATATTGCGATTAATAACATCTCCGGATGAAGCAGCGTAATATTATAAATCTGATACGAAATGCAAATTAAATGTCAAAACTGTCTGTGTAAGCATTAAGTTTTGTAGATAAAAGCACAGCAAAAATAGTGAAATATTCATTTAATATAATGTGGTTAGGGTATTCAATAAAAGGCAAACACCGAGCAGCTGAAAGCGGAACGGATGTCAAGCTGAGAACATGTGTGTGTACAAAATGTCATTTCTCATTTAGCAAAATATTTACGGAGAAAACAGCACAGGCCTCTAAAGCGTATCATCCGTCGTTTAATATACCAAGTTTTGGAAACATTCTGATTCACACATTTTACCACTAAAGGGCCTGTTACGTTTAGGTCCTCGTCGAAAGATAACTTTTTATCTCAACTGGCCATGTGCCACTTCCATGCAGAATCGAATTTTCCGCCTATCATTTTCAGCAAATATAATTTGGACATACATTGTGTACTTACCCAAAACAGAATCAAAAACACAGTGAAAACAACTTTCAACGATTTTAGACACTTGATGTTGCACATATCCGTTGTAGGGAATATACAAAAACGAAAATACAGTTCACCATTTGCATAATAGGCAACAATACTAGCTTTCTTACTGCTAATACATTATGTAATAATTTTGGAATTTCTCACCATTGACAGTTAATGAAATTTGGGTCAGCGGTAGGCCATCAAAATGTAAATATGGATTTTGAAATTGATTCTGACTGATTATGACAAATATTATGACAATGACTGGACTGTCACAGGGTAAGGTTTATATGAATATATCTTTACCACAATTCAAAGCTTTCATAATATTGGCTTTTACATGGCGTAAAATTTCCCCGCTATTTTGTTGACCTCTCATCATGCGTTTGATTAATTCCCAAAAAGATTAAATATTGTGAACGCGACAACTTTTTTATCTGGCGGCTAGCTTTTTTTGTTAAAAATTGTATCTAAAATGAAGCTGTTCCCTGCGACATTATTGATAAATGAAGATGTGAACAGTCGCCTGAAGGCAATGTCTATATAATTAATTTTCGTGCACGACGAAGCCTTCCGCTCGATACTTTCGCCGTCTGAGCAAATTTAGCGCTAACGTTAAAAATATCCTGTCGTTAAAATAATACGCTTGTATGATATTCACACAGTAGTATTGAGACGACTGCGCACATAAAAATAATAAAACTGGCGGCACTGACAATGCCCATTGTTCAGGAAACAGGCGCTTGGCCGAAACGCGTAAGCTCGACACAGACTGGACGCGAAGCGACAACGCGACGCGAATTTTCAGTTTTCAGAAGCATATTATTAAATTATTAATTATTGAATCATTAAATTCTGAGATCAAAATTTGGAATCTATTGATGTAATCTACAAGAAAATTTTGAAAAGTTAAAATTTATTTGCTTTTGAAGAATATAAAACGTTGAAAATTCGCGCCGCGTTGCCAATTCGCGTCCTGTCTGTGTGGGCCTTTAGAATCTTCCGGAGGGAGTAGCGCTTCATCCGCCTGGTGTGCGCCACGTGTTTAGTTTACTCATGTTCTTGTAACATACAATTTCTACAACTTTCTACTTATTCCTAGCGGTGATTTTAGAAAGTCTACAGGAATTTGGTTACAATATAATCACTCCCTCTTACCTCAATATTCTTCCGTCAGGGATGTTCTTACAGTTTTTCATCAAATGTGCAAACATTTACCAGGAATGTTACCGCCTACGTTATTTGTTTTTTCTTGTCTAAGTCAATGATTACTAGAAAAAATTTAATTACTTTTCCCGAGGGAAACGAGTCGTGAATTATCGCAATCTTATCAAAGCATACAAGTTAGTAAGTCGTTTTTTATACAACTGAGCCTGCCAGAAGGTATATATAAAAAGTCATCTCAGGATCACTAGAAGGCTACAACCTCCCACCTCATCAAATACTAGCTTTGCAATTAGGTCCCTTCCGTTCACCCATACACCCCCGCCCCGTCACATATACGAACAATCTTAGTTTAACGATATATTAGTTGTAGATCAAGTAAAAGAAACATCTATTCTTGCCTGTTTTCACGGCGACATCAATAAGTAAATTAGCTTGTAAGTACACATGTGGTATGTGTGTGTTTTAATACTGCAAAGACCCGGGTTAACGGCTTTGCACAGCTCAGTGGCTTTGCAGTATTAAATACTTACGTCACAGAATACCTAATAGAAGTGGAACTCTATACTATTTTTTCGTAAGTGTGATTCGTCATGATTCGTCACTTAGCAAGTGCATTTTTTTGAGGCTGTCACCCCCCTGCTAATACTAAATATGCGTTGATTTTAGACATTGGCAGGGGGGTGACTACCTCAAAAAAATGCACTTGCTAAGTGACGAATATGACGAATCACACTTACGAAAAAAGTACAGGAGTTCCACTTAGGAACTGTTAGGTATTCTGTGCTTACGTGGTGTACCTGCAAGCTAAAAATTTACTCAATAAGTACGGCATCATTCGTTAAATCGACGTTAAATCTTATAATTACGACAATATTTCATAATTCAGCATATTCGATGTTTTATTTACGCCGTTTTTCCCGAACTAGCGTTTAGCGTTTAGCTGGGCATTTTTTTCCACTCGACACAGAAACTTACAGAAGAAAAGCAATAATTGTTGATTGTTATCGGGTTATCGGGGGGTACAAATGTAATATGATGGATATATGGGGACATTCTTTGTTTCCCGCCAAAACCATTTTTACTTCACAACAATAATTTAGAAAGCAGTTATCTGCTTCAAAGACGAAAATATTTCATATTATTTCTTGGATAATATAATTTTATTGTTAAAAGCTGAGCAAGGAGGAAGACTGTTCTATTTTTCTCGAATTAAATTCGTATTGCCTTCGGGAAAGAATATCGTGAAGTCGTAATAAAAGGTAAAAACCGTATGATTGTACTGAAAGTCTGAAACTACAAAATACAGAACGAAATTTCGATTTATTTAAAATTATCTGAAAAATATAAAGGTATAAACCCTCTTGGCTGAAGTTCTGTCGCTAGTAAGCTTGTTAATAAGGTTTTATTACTGGCATATATTTTTACGCGTAAAATTATACGGTTATTAGGCTTCTGAGCTGTTGATCGAGTGTTGAATTATGGTACTTTATAAGAGCAAAGAATCGTGGTTGAATTGTATAGAAATAGTCAAAGGATTGCCGCAAATATTCGTAGCGGTTTGCATTGTGGTTTTACTGTAGTATTGTTTTCTCTAGCAAATTCAAACATCTGATTCGGAATGCAAACATCAAAGATTCGCCTGTTAGCCATCGCATGCTTCGGCCTCTCCTTTACAAAACTTCACTACAAATATCAGGAATACTATACCGTATACGTATTAATTTTTAACCACAGTGCAGACCGCTGCAAATATTTGATAAGTGGAGTCGTTGATAGTTGTTGCTAAGGCTTATAGTTGACAGTAAGTGTGACAAGATAAACAACACTTATATTGTAGACGTAGTGCTGTCATGCAGTATAAATTATAGTCACACACTCACACATTTTCTGCTCTTGGCCGTATATCTATAATTTATATAAATATTTTCACAAAAATGCGTCATCTAACATGTTTATGGCAGCCTGTGGAATTGATGAGGGCTATCTTCATATGTATTGATGTATTCTGGCTTTGGTGTCTTTAGATTTAAGCCATTAATTTTACAAAAATGAAAGCAAACCCCTATTAGGTTAGGCTATCTCGTATCGCCAACGATGTTCTGCCTCAGATAATTCCTCCCACCCTAAGAAAAAAACTCCATTGAAAGGCGTGACTACGAAGTTTATGCTGTATATTATGAGTTAAAACATCATGATTCTGTGTTTTTTATACCAAAATACTATTTTATAGCCTACTGGGAAATCAAAATTTCACAATGCCGATGGCTACTTCGCAATTGAAAAAACCTGAAGTCAAAACTGGATCGGTAAGCCAAAGAAAAATTGTCATCGACCTCAGAACGAAAATCGCATTGTTCATCCGCTTAATTCGTGCAAGTGGCAAATAGTCCCGAGTTCCTTTACATGAATATTTTTATTAGGGTTGATTCAAGTCGAAATTTGATCCAAAACTTTGTATGAGATCTTTTATTCCGATGTAAACAAACAATTATAAAATGACTCCCTGACCAAAAAGTGATAGGTCTACATGGTTTATAGTTACACACCTGGTCTAACATTGCCTAAAGTATGCGGAAAAAGACTTTTCAACGTTTGAGAAAGGACCTTCGTCAGGAGATTTGTATGATTTAATAGTATCCATACTAACTCTCGTGACGAAGGCCCTACGGTTGAAGCGTCGAGAAGATTTTTTTGTCTATTTTAGGCAGTTATACCACACTTCAGTGGCACTTATTGTTTAAAGACGGTGCCACGCTACTCCCAGGTTATATTGGGACGCAATGGTAAAGATCAAATATTATGATCTCACGCGATAATCGATACTGACGTAACTACTTTAATTTGTGTGTTTCAGTGGTCAAGTATCTTCAATTCCTCTGAGCAACTGAATGGTAAGTTCTCATAGTAATATAGCCTCCTTTTAGAGTACCTTATCATCCATGTAGATACTCTTAATCATTACCCATGTGCTTTTCTCACAGAGACCCAATCAGCTCTTTTCGTGAAAAAGTTGCTTGCAGTTGCCGTAAGTAATTACAATTATGCATCATTGATTCGTTATTGGAATGCAATAATTAGCTTTATTATTTATTTAAAAGAATTCGAAACCTAAGATAGGCTAATAGCCATGTGTTAATCGTCATGTCCAGCGTGTGACGTCATAACGTTATTAACGTGGGATGCGAGATTTTTCTTGCACGCTATTATACGAGATAACGTGCATGATAAATATAGGATATTACACGTTGGCATCGTTTTTGACACGAGAACATAAAATCCATATCTTCGAGCGAACCGTGTAATGTTCGGTTTATTATATGGCTCATGGCTGAACCTGTAAATTGCAGTTCAAGAAAATTGAACCGTTCGTGTATGCATAAGAAAAAATATTTTAATTCCGTCGTCTTGAACCGTGTATTCGCCTTCAACAATGCCAATGGACTAATTAAATCGCCAGTCAGCTGCATGTATTAATTAATCAATGCATAATTATACACACAACAAGAGCTTGTTAAAATCACTCACTTCTTTCCTCTTTATCGTTCAGATTTCCAGCGTGACATATTTACGGTAAGAGCCTCGTGCCAAATGTTTTCTAAAAGTCATGCGATAGAGTTACGGCCAGGAAATCAGGAAATATTCAAAGTATATAACCATACTAAGAGCTAAGATTCAATGTTGAAAAGGCTTCAACGTGCAAAACTCTTGCTTTTTAAACCAGTATGGACGATATACTTTCATGGGCGTCAATCCAACGTTAAGTGAGCACGACACGTTCGATTGACGCCAATGTCTACTTTAGCCGAGTTGTCAGACTGTTTCTCCACTGCACAGGAAACTGCTATTGATCATTTGTTTGCCGTGAAGTAGAGTATGATATAAAGTTGTTTATTGCATACAGAGCGGTCTTCCCAGAAAGATGCTTTGGTGATCGGTGTTTGGAAGGTGTGTGTTTTTTTATAACGAAATAAGCTATAATCAACCATTGCTCTTTAAAGGCAAAAGAAGATATTGTGACAAGCGAATTCGGCCGGTATAGTATAAACGGGGCCATATAGGACAATAAATAGAGGTTGAAACATTTCGAAGTTTGAAATCTTCACACTTCAAACACTTTTCAAGCACATAATCTGACTTTGTAGATCTAAATTTGAAGATTTTGCGAGACGAAGATGCGTTCCCTGGATCAAGTCAAGTTATTCAATGGTGGGGAGAGACACTATACTTTTTAGTCTTTTTTACAATAATTAAGTCGTTTATTATTTCAAGCAAGCGCGAAACGGTTGGAGCGAGCAGGTCAGTATCCGAGGTATATCCTAGAAGAAACAATTTATTTCTAAAAATTTTTTCTTTTATAGGGTCAAAGGCTGTTTCAATGCAATCGACAAAAAATATGTACGTTTACTCAATTATATCGTTCACACTTAATTCATCTAACGCCTGTGTTCTAAAACCTCACTCACACTCAAACTCATTGAGTGGGTGATCTCAATCTTCTCACAAAGTTTTCATGGCGGCATTTCCACTCAAAAAGGAACTTGATTACCAGTGTTTTACCTTGGATCTTTCCACTGATTAATACAGAACTTTCTCATTAATCAGTAATAACAAAATGTCAATGTCACACTCATTCCAATGAGTGCGAGTGAGCTGTTTGAATACAGGCGCTAGACACTACCGGTATATGAATTATATGATCTTAACCGAAAAATCCTAGCTTTCATTCAAGAGATATTCATTTAACACTACACTTTGAACTGTCAGCGCGGGAAGGATGGATGGTTGGTTTGGAGGACTTGTTAATCCTTGACTTGTTAATCTATGATATATATATAATTTATGATATATTTTTTTGTTTCGCTGTATAGCTAAGGAAGATCATATTGGGAGTAAGTGCTACAAATCTTTGTTCAATATAGGCATATAGCTCACTGATATCCACTCCATTATCTCAACTCTAATGAACATATATCAACTCCATTATTATGGCGTAGTATCTCGTCATTATAAAAATTTATAATCCTTTTATAGTTCTATTTGAATGCAAGTGACCCTGATGTAAGTAAAAGAGAATCAGATAATATTCTTAATTACAATTCTACTGGCGTATTAACATTTCAGTTGGTATTAAGGTGATATCATAGGCGTGTTCTTTTACTCTCGCCCGCAGTGGGAAATAGAAGCAGAATAATAATGTTTAGGAAGAGGAAGATGCAAAAAATTGACGTGTCGTTTCGTCAAGCTGGGCTAAAACAAAAGTAGCTTTAGGCTGAATTTGTTTGGCAAAGGGTGTACAAACACCCCAAGAGTTTGGGAAGTATTAGGCTCATAATTTCGTTGGTTTTAATTCGATTTACCTCTTGCACAAATCCTCATTTTAAGCCTCACCGGAGTATGAGAGTAAGTTAGCCATATGAGCATTTAAACACTCGGGGAGAGGTACAGTGTTGGCACCGTAAAATCAGTTATATGCATGCATGGTTGATGTTTTTTTATCAAAACTGTTCGTGGTTTAATTCGAGCTCATTTGCTCCTTGTCATATTTTTCGGTCTCTCCTTCAGTGATATGCATGCGCAAAAGGCGTTAGTAGGAATATCACGCAAGTTTACAGTTTACACATGCACGGTACAAGACACCGCTGCTTGGAAATCTTAAAGTTATAAGAACTTCCATGTATTTTTTCTTTCTTGAACTACGTCTATAAACATTAAAACCTCATTCACCACATTACACCTACCCAAATTATTCCTATAAGAATAAATTTATGGGGGTTTTATACATATTGTAGACGGTGATTGAAACATATACCTTCAAGGCAAGTTCATTTAATGAGTGGATAAGTTTTCATTGATGTTGATGTTGTGTGGTTCTACTCTTCCTAAATTCACTACACTTCACATTAATGAAACAAATCATGATATTTTTAGTTTGATTACTACTGTGATGGAATAAACATATACCGGTAAGATATTTCAATCAAAATGATATAGAAAACTATGTATAAATCCTATTATTGTGTACCTCATTTGGAAAATGCAATGTAAAAAGTCGTCTAATGTAAAAATCAAACAAATATGGCAGTATTTTTATTATTTGCCTGCTCATTTTAAAATATCATTTTAGTAATGGCGAGGAAATCGCATCAGAAAAACAAGCAAAGACTTCAGATGAGACGAAACGAGCCACAATCCGTCTCTTAAGGTATATTTGCATTATACAAAATAAACGACAATTTATTCCGACATTAGTCGAACCAGCTTGTTAGGAACTCACGCGACTGTCCGACCGCATCTCGTTGTGCTTTGTACGTCACGTATATTTTTACTTCGCTGCTATATGCTTAGATCAGCTGGATAGTTCCTATATTACAGCTGCCAAAATTATTTTCATTATTACTGTTATCGTTTAGAACTCTTGTGCTTTTGACTCAAACTTTAAAATCTCTGCCTGGTATGTATGCATTAACAATTTTCTGACCCGTTCAAAAATTGCATCACAACTTCGATTTTTTTTTAACTTATAACTACATTGAGTAAAGTGGATTGCAAGTTTTACTCCATGCATTGAGCTATTTAAAGTTGTCCCAAAAACCTGCAGTGAGTTTATATCATAATTACAGCAACGGTTATAACATCTAACTAGGACAGGGTTTGGCAGGTGGGTTCGAATTTGAACGCCCCTGCTCTTAGGTAATAGGAACACATGCAGCTTTTACAACATGTATGGGATAATGACTCAAATCAGTAATCCTGGATTTAGCCCACACCCGTAAACATGTCAGCAAGGGGGCTAAGCACCTAGAACTTTGTTCTGCGTGCCAAAAAATCCTAATTCTAAGCTGATGATTATGTCTTCAAACTTTATACCTGAAACACTACAGATGATGTGATGATGACAATGAAAATTCTCTACTACGACGATGGTATGTAATATATTCGTGTTGATTTCTCACCTGCATCGAGATTTGATTCGCATATATCATATTTTTTACATAAGTCTTACATATGTGATTAATCACGCTAGCACGTTTACCATCACTTTACTATTTGAACTATTTTCAGTCACACCACCCGACTATCAGCCACCGGGATTTGAGGTATGCTAAGCAACTACATGCAATCATGGATTCTTGAAGCTAGGGTGCTATCTTCAAACAAAGCTTACTAAAATTTTTCCCACTATACATGTATACCCATATCCGCTGAAATATGTTCCATAGGCAACTGATTATTTGGGGCCTTCATTTAAAGATGATATCCAGAGAATTGTTGTTGGTAATGTTAACACGGTATGAAAACCAATTTTCAAATACTTTGAAGTTCTTTTGAACTATCTTATATGATCTGATTTCTTTTATTGATTTTGTATTGCCCTAAGTACAATTTTAACAGGATTATTTTTTTTCATCCACTCGTATTGGATAATCCACGCAGCCTTTTCATATGTAAGTAAATATTATTTGAATAATCAATTTCAATGAACTAATAGTTAAATAATTGTAAATTAATTAATTATTTGAATTAATACAGACGAATGTGTCCTAAGCTGTTAGTTGACTCAATGACAATAGTTTCTAAATCGCACTTTGGTCAGCTGTATATGCGGTTCAGTTTTGCCGGAATAAAAATTATCATCATACATGAAACTGCAGGGTTGGACTCCGTGTTCGATCTGAGCTTCAACAATGGCAAGATGCGAATGAAACTCATGATGATGTGGAAAATGATGAAAACTGCAGTAAGATGAAGGAGGAGGAATCTTATCTTGATCACGAGGTTGATGCAAGATCTGTAAATATGGAAGAAGCCAAACCGAAGGTATGCTATGTTTCACTGCAGAAATGTAGTTAACTATACATGATCGTTATTTATGTTCCTACAAATTAAATTTAAATCATTTTAAAATTTACTTTGGACCGACGAAAGCCATGTTTTGTACGAGAATGCGGTTTAGAAACACTTAAACCAAAACAGTGGATTAAAATTTAACCAAGGGTTAGCGCTAATATAATCGTAGTTTTTATGGAAATATCCTGCGTAGTTTTCATGGAAATATCCTACGTAGTTTTCATGGAAATATCCTACGTAGTTTTCATGGAAATATTCTACTTGTTTCTTCAATAAGGCGCTAAACAACGCACCAGGTGATAGCGAAGAACCGTATCTTATTGCCGAACCAGAGAAATCAGCTGTAAGTTTATTAGAATTACAGCCGCCCAAGAAAGATGGATCAAAGGAAACAATGAAAGGTTTGCAACCTTAAAATTTCAAAAAATACAAGGCAAAGCAGAATCCAAAGACCTTGTATATATTGTAAATTTCGTTAGTCTGATGATGATTTTGTAATAAAATCGAAATATCGCCAACTTTGTCTGGCTTTAACCTTTGCTTTTGGGTTCCAAATTGTAATCTCCGCATTGCTTTGCTTTGCCTTGTACTGTTTAATTAAATTGTATTGAACGTTTTTAGAGGAAGAAGCAATGGAATGCAGCTCTACCGCACCCCTGAATCCCCCAGATGTTCCAGGTACCCATTAATCTTTTAACTAGGTTCAATATAGATATATGCGCTAAAGGCGCGTTTACACTTGCGATTTTTGCTGCGATTTTACGTGCGATTTTCATCTTTTGATAGATGTGAATAAGTAGTAAGTTACGAATGCTTTGGGGCCGGTTGTATGAAAGCCGGATAGCGCGATCCACCGGATAGTGAGTTTTTCAACCGTTCTAAAAATGCTTGAAAAGCAATAAAATTTTTCATTTAGAGCCAAAAATTATTAAAGAGGACCCTCACTTTGGTGGTAATAAGATTTAATCAAAGTTATACCCAACAACGGAGCGACTTGAAAAAACACTATCCGGTGGATAGCGCTATCAGCCTTTCATACAACGGACCCATGATGTATAATATAAGAGCCTATATTTGAACACCAGTAATTAATTCACTCGTTCCCATCTATCAAAAGAAGAAAATAACTGAACAAAAAATATTGCACCACACGACCCGCCCTATGAAAAAGGTGCTTTGTGCTACTTGCATTCTTAAACAAATAATCAATTCTTTCTGGTATATCAGGTACTTCACGTAAAAACATATGTACTTGACACGATTTTCAGTTTCAATATAGGCTAGGCTAGGCTAGGCTAGGCTAGGCTAGGCTCAGGGCCATAGGTAGAAGCCTAATTGAGGGGGGGGGTGAATATTGATATATTCTTATCTATATCTTATGGATATATGAATATACACCCCCCTGATTAAGCTTCTAGTGACGGCCTTGCGACAACTTACAAATAGTAAGTACATCCTGACTGTTCATAGCGTTTAAAACTGAAGCTTAAGACCTCAGAATTGATTTATTTTGCCTCATCACAGGTCTCTACAATGCTGCAAGTGAAGCAAATGAAAAAGCACCGACACCGATCACGCTGACGCCTGCTGATGAACAATTGGTACCAACTTCAAAGGAAGTCATTGTCCAATGCTCGTGTGCATACAACGGGGTTTGTGGTTTTCATGATTATGTTCAGTTAGAAAAAAGCCACATTTCATGAGATTTTGAGTTGACAACTAGTCCCAGTCCCTTCCCGCGCCATTTCATAGTACAATGATACGGTTTCAGTATGTTATTGAATGCATTTTTAGGACGATGGTATGATGATCTTGTGTAGTGTCTGCAAGAACTGGCAACATGCTTCCTGCTATCGCTTTTTTGCTGAAGAAGATTGTCCGATTATGCATATTTGTGTTCAGTGTGCTAAGGTTGTTTTTTATCATTTTTCATTCATCTTTGTTTTTTGTAAGGTTGTTTTTCATTACTTAATCCGAGAAATTGTATATAATTCGAAGTTTTCGTTTAATATAATCTGATTATGTGACTTTCCTGAGTGCAAAGAGCGTCAGGGTTATCCGCATAGAATTGAACGTCGTTTCGACTACAAAACTCGTAATGGATATGCCATTTCTGGTTCTATTTTCATATGCCGAACAGAAACTTATTATTAAAAAAAATTCAAAATCAACTCTGAAATGACATCACTTAGTCTTGCTGACCTATTTCTATTTCAGAGTGAGAATAAAGAGTGTACTGATGGTACTTTAGTTGGACTGACCCCTGTAAAGTTGCAGGTTTGTATAGAGACAAATTAGTGCGAAACTCACTTGCAATCAAGGTTGAAACTAGACACGATAATTGCCGGGGGGCTGGATATTCATATATTCGTTCCTCGCGAGATTTCTTTTGTACGTATACCACGTACGTACATTCCCGCGGAGCCGAATTTTTCTTTGTCATTTTCACATTATTTCTGCATGAAAGCGTGCAGATAACGAATTCTTTGTTGTGTGATTATAGGCAACATGCTTGTGGAGGCGTGCTTTAGTTGCCTGTCGTGGATCAACTCGACTTACGGCTCCAAAATTTGCCGATAGACTAGGTACGTCCAATTAATATTAGAAAATCCATACAGCATTGAATTTACATGCATGGAAATTAATTTCCATAGTAATTATTAAAATTTTTCCAAGAAAACATTCAAACAGCTGCCAATAGTAATTTGATACAATTACAATACTACGAGTCATTTTTTGCAGCGAAATATCATATATTGATATTGTTAAATTTATACTTATTTCGGTATTTCGTATTTAAAAGCAAGCTGTGCAATTTACTCTGACTTTACCTTGTTTCACAATTGCTAGACGCAGTGATGTATATGTTTACAGTGTTTACCCATGCTCTGCATGAAAAGTGGGTGGGAAGAATTTCCATGAGAGAGGAAGAGCAGTATATAATACTGTACTGCCATAAAGATTCATTTAATGCATTACCCTGCCAGTCAATTTAAGAAAATATAAGATCCCGAAGAACCACATCTTGTAAACCAGAAATTCGTAAAGCAAACAATCTGTTCACTGTAAAATTTCAATGTCCTTAGAAATTATGTAGAAAAGCCAAAATCTGCGTCTTCCAAGTTCACACATCAACCTCAGGCCCTAGGATAATTTATATACAAGTGGTTTAGTCGTAGTTCACGTCATGGCACAATAGATTTCAGATTGGCCAATTTAGGGGCTGTTCACATGAGCCCGGTTACCGAGATTTAACGAAGCGTAAAATGAACTTTGACGTATTGAAATAACACAATTCTGGTAGTCGTTTTATCATCCTAACAATAGCATTGATTGTTTTGTTTCAAAACGACTTTTTTCAATACCTCAAAGTCCATTTTACGCTTCGTTAAATCTCGGTAACCGGGCTGATGTGAACAGCCCCTTAATTACCCTTTTTACAGCCGGACGCTGCTGCAAGTTGATTAATGAATGACCTGATTTTGTCAAATCAATCGCTTTAGGTGTCGAGTACAATGTTGCTCATGGTCTTATGAAGCGGATGCAAAATGAAGGATTTTTGCGACAAGCTGTCAAAGGAAAACGGTACATTTACCTTTTTGATAATAGAGGACAAACCAATTAGTGAGATGAATAAACCTCCAATTGGAGCAGCCAGGATGGCGGCAACCCATATTTTTGTATCGTTTTACTGGTGAAACATCTAACTGCATGATCAAGACTCTTAACCGATGCATTCAAAAGTTGACTGCTGGCCATCAGTTTTGTACGAGTCCAGGTTTTATGATATAAAGACCAATCGAGCGAATTAACAAACAACCTAAAATGAACAACCTGTTACCAATGCCTGGATTTTCAACATTAATAGGTAGTCACAGTGTTTCATATCTGAGACCTAATACTGGCTGCCATCGTAGCTGCATGACATGGGAGGTGCAATCTTATTTTGCACATCATGCATCGTTACTTCCAAAATTCGGTTGTACACTTGCTCTATATATGAAGTGTCTAAACAGTAAAATTTGTAATTTTCAGGCTTGGAAAATTAATCACCAAAGAGAAGGTCACTACTGAAGCTTTAAAAAAATATTTCTACCCATCTGAGGATGCGGTTGAGCGGAATACGGAGTCAACATCACAGCAGAATGAGAAACTGGAGAGTAAAGAAAAAGAATCTTTGGACGAAGAGGTACGTTTTTATAAAAGATTAATTTTCGTGGATAATTGAATAGTTAAGTTAGTATTAATAGGTATTGTCCACGAAATTCTTTTTTTACCCCGCATAATGACGTCTATATATGCACAGGAATTTCGAAAGGACTGCAGATAAAAGCTAAAAATTAAGAAAAACAGTGGCTTCAGGGTATTCAATACGCGATGTTTTCTTTTTGATAACGCCAATTGCTAGCGTCACAGTTAAGGTTATTGATGTTGATGGCAGATATTGTACTGCGAACATTTGCATCGACTTAATTGATAGGAATTGCAAAGGATGGTTAATAAAGCAGCGGAAATCGATATTTCTGGCAAGTATCAGGCAAAATCTGCAAAAGCGACGAGTAAGGTAACAACTCACTATAAATTATTTCTATGAAGTAGAATTAAGAAAGGCGTATACCAAATAGTTTTTCGTGTAGAGAATGCACACGGGAAACAAGAGCTATAAACTCACTCTGAGTGTATTTCAAAGTTTCCAAAACTCTACACCGACTTTCAAAACACCTACCTGTAAGTGCATGATTCGTGCAACCACATACAAAAGAACCATTCAGCAATTAATTCTCTCATTTACTTTCTACATCAAAATAACGTTTTAAAACATTTTTAAAATCCCACGAACGAAGGCAATTAGTTTCCTCTTGCAGAATGTTCACATTCTGCACGGTTATTAAACAATCACACTGCGTGTTTTACTGTAGTTATCAACTGTTTTCCAGGTAGCAGAAGTCGTGGACCAAAAGAGTAAATTGAGAAGCCGTAAAAGAGTAATGTCTGCGATCGATAATGTAAGTTATTTTTACATTCCACGTTACGAGAATTCTTTTAAAACTACACAGACAGCCACATGAAGGTTCAACGCGGCAGGTGCATGGGTTAATGAAAAGAAGCTTTGTAGGTATGCCCCAGTAGTTCGCGAAAGTAGTTTTTAGCGAACATGTATTTCTATATTTCAACATTTGAACGTTCCTAGAAAATAAGATTATATTACACGCCACAATTGTTAGTGGCGTACGGGAGACGAATCAGACGATAATTGGGAGGCACATATTCATGTAGTCATGTCGTGCAAGATTAATTTGTTTTCAAATCCATTGTCTTTACAGGTCTGTTAAAATGAATATATGAATATGTGCCCCTCCAATTATCGTCTCCCTTACGCCACTGTGACAATTTTTGTTTACATTTTTGCAGGATTTGGAGTTCTCTGTGTCTAACAGCCAAGATCCCATGGATTGTCAGCATAATGTAAATCCAGCTAAAAAGCAAAAGGCCAGCGCTGCTGCTCAAGCTATATTAATATAAATATTCATCGTTCAGGCTTTTGAGCTCTAAAATATGTCGTTAATTATTAACCTTATCTGTGTGAATGAGATTTTATACAAGCTATAATTAAATTTTGTTGTATATCAATTAGTGAAATAATTAAGGAGACAATTTATATAAATATAATTCAGTGAAAAATCAATTAATTGCAGGAACTGCTGATTGATCTGTTAATATAGCTACTATTATTTTTGTAAACTCTTTGCTGCACAGTTTAAAAATGAATGTTCAATTGAATGTTTGTGTTTTCCTTTGGTACATAGTCTATAGTTTATTCAGTATTAAAAAGAAATATTTCTATATTTCCTGAGCTGGCGCTGAGCGAGGGTACTAATCTTACACGGAGTTTGAGAATTACACCTGGTTGAAGTCAAAAATTAAAAGCAAAAACTTTTTGAAAAACAGAGCAAATTAGCAAATGCATGAGTGTACTTTACATCGTTCTGGACATTCCTATAGATAATTACTCTCTACGTCTGTCTCAAATGTTCAAAAACTATCTTCAAATTTGGCTTCGAAGATAGCGGCCAAGCTAATGCACTTACAAAAGAAATCCGTTAGGCAGAACTGAATAAAATATATGAATAAACAAACACCTAATGCCTTCCCCCCTCCGCCAACTATCATTCTTTTTACGCCCCTGTTCCCAGACCTATACCTTCATTGCAACTGAGCAATGATGAAGTTTTTAGTCTGCTTGTTATGCCACGCCTCTATTGTGATGCCCATATTTGTATTTGATGGCCTTTTTTACCTTATTCCCAAATCACACTTTACATAGGAGTGATATCATTTCGCGCTGTGAATAATCTCCTATATAATATGTTTCCAAAATACGAATATTACGATACTTCAGACCACAAATCAACACAAATTTCTGTGAACATAATACCAAGTTAGGACTTTATTATTTCCTGATCAAACATTAACATCAAACATTTACATAATTTTACAGACATAGGTCATGCCACTTCTAACTCCTAGGCTTAGTGCAAACTTACTATATCATTTACTCACTTCTTATATACATACACGTCTAGCTTTGATGAAATTGATTTTTTCAGTGTAAATGGACTTGAACAGCCAGAGTTTAGTAATGGAAATCTACAGACTTTTCAGTCTTAATCTTATTCAGATATATGTATAGCTATAATTATGCACGATGGCCTCGCCAAGGTGTGTGTTCACTGCGAAAATCAAGTGCAAAAATTTTCCAGAAAGTTTAGATAAGACCTGGCTGTCCAAAGCGTCCAGTGAAATTAATGTGAACAGCCCCTTAGTCCATTTAAATTGCAGATTTTGTAGACCGCGCCTGTGCTCTTACTGTCATTGAACGTAGCTTTGACGTGCGGTGATATAGTTCTATTATGCAAGTTTGATGCTATACAGGGTGTTTTTTAAAAATTGCAAACACTATAACTTGCATACTTATTAAATTGATACTGCCAATAGCATGTCAATACCGTTCTGCTAATTGTTACTACCTCTGGGATTTGAAAACGTTTTCTTGTTATTCGAACAGTCACAAAAATTCCATACTTAATCATAGGCGGCCCAGAACTGATCTCCCTGACCTCGCGCGACGCTCATGTTGTCTGAACAGTCTTATATAATAATAATATAACTTATGGCCGCCTATGACTTAATTTGATAATGAATTGTGTTTTACACACCTTTGGAAACAAATATAGTACTAAATTATGTAACAGTTTACTTCATAAATATCTGATTTTATAAACGTTCGCAGCTTTTGATACAACCTGTATATTTAACACTTATTTACTGCGAACGAAGGAAACGTTATGTTTTGTGGACCCGAGAGCTGGTCCACAAAACATAATGTTTTCTGAGTTCTCAGTAAACAAATTTTTAATCTATGCCACTTGTCAAAGAAAAACCAGAAACTACAAGTTGAACAATGAAATATCTATTCATAAAAGACATAATTTCGAATGGATGAACAGTCAAAAGGTCGCACGTCCAGGTGCGCCGCACGTGATGAAAGTTGTTATTTCCCATGAGATACACGTTACCTCACTTTGCACAGGGTCGCGCTGGGACATCAAAATTTCGTCACTCTCGCGTGATTCGCTCTCGACCAATGAAATGATACGAACACCAAACTTTGACAAGTGGTATATTATAATAAAATGAATTATTTCTTAAGAAATTAATTGTTTTCACTAAATCGAACAGTCACAAAAATTCCATACTCAATTTGACGATGAATTGTGTTTTACACACCTTTGTGAACAAATAGTACTAAATTATGCAACAGTTTATTTCATAAATGTCTGATTTATAAACGTTTGCAGTTTTTGATACAACCTGTATATAATTATTTATTTCTTAAGAAATTTTAAATTCTTTTCACTATTATAACGAACACAAAAAATTGCAGAGCAGGATGAGCTACACAAATGACGAACCTAAAATATTTCATGTAGTTATACAATTGCTGTTATGAAATGCCTTGGTTTCAAAGCATTGAGCTTGCTTTTAAAGGAAAAGACCTTTTCGGTAATCACGTCGCAACATTTTAACATCACAACGTTTTAAATTTAGAAGCACCTTAAATGAAATGGAATTCAGGTTTACTCTCACGAGCCACGTGCAAAGATGCAAAACATCTTTCTTCAACACATGCATGAAATTTTGTTTTGTTTTGACCAATAAATGTGTCAATAAGCCATAAAACGAGAACGAGGCTGAAGGGCCAAGACTGCAAGCCTCGTTCCCGCGTTATGGCTTATTTCCATACTTATCGGTCAAAATGAAAAATTATTTTTCAAGCACGGGTTATAGGAGGATGTTTTGCATCTTTGCACATAGCTTGGGAGAGTAAAACTTGAAATCCATCTCATTTAAGGTGGTTCTAAATGAATTTAAAACGATAATGCTGTGACGTAATTACCGAAAATGTCTTTTGTTTTGTAAACTAAACGATTTTTCACGACATTTCAAATGGCACTTCCCTCTACTTTAGTGCAAATTTTGTTGCTCCAGAGCAATTGGCAACAAATTTACAACGACTTTGTTGCAAGTAATTTTATACGCATTTTGTATCTTAATAACGCCTTTTTCAAACTTCTTGCTCTCGGCCGAACTATAGATAATGATATTATGATAACAACAATAGATATTGAGGCGTGCATCTAAACAACAAATGGGAAGCAAGATATTTGAAAAAGGCCCACAGTTCCTAAACCTCTCGAAGTTAAACACCACATTAAAAGATAGCAATAGTTTAAAGTCTTGAGAAATAAACTACTTTTTTATTCACTCAAAAAATCCAAGACAGTGATGAGGACATACATATATGCCTCTTCGTTTCTCACATTCATTATATTTATTTTTTGTTCTAAAAACTGTTTTATGACACTCGCGGTGAGCTAGGCTATGCTGTGCCGGAAAAGCGGAAGGATGATAACTATAACTTGTTGCTAAATCGGCCCCAATGTGAAAAAATTCCCATCAAAACAAATATGATTTATCTTGTGATTGTTCTACATTTCTTTATAGGTATTCTTACATGAGGTGAATTCCGATACTCTCGTGCCAAAATAAAGTTGCACAATAACATTCATTACGTTCGAAAACCAAATTTTGGTAACATGAAAAACACGTGGTCGGGCACCAGGATGCAGGGTGTGATAATTATTAAATTATATAAGCTGTAAACTCAAGCTTTCCAAAACAACAGTGTCACTATAAAGGCTGCAGGAAGTCAAACCTGGTCTGACTTTAGGAGGCGCCGATGTTCTATACGCGACGAAGCAGAACTTTGTTTTCAAATACAGCAAAATCAAAGATTCAAAAAAGGGTTCGTAATGCCACCTGAGAGCGAAGGGTCCATCGCAGATAAAGGTAAGATCCATGAACATGTCAGCCCTTGCTGTGATACATTTCTCTGTGCCTATTTCCTGTATCACGTTCTGATTTATGAAACGAAATTGAGCAGGAGGGGATGTGTAAGATATTCCAAGCCATTCAGCCGAGTTATTGACGCTAGAAAGATGGACGTAGGCGTAACCAAAACCAGAGCGTATTGTGAAGATATTATTTTCATTATGAACTAAAAGAATACGATGTACATAATAAATTGATACACAGGGGGCTCTGTCTAAAGGTTACGAGTTACAATGGTGATGCTCTACTGACAATCATTATGGACACATGCAATTAGAAGGAAATAGGAACTGGTGTAATCAGGATATAACTAAGGAGAAACTTTGCTGCCTCGTCTAACAACTTCGCCGAAATTAGTGGCATAAAGCTTGCGCTTTAGAATACTTATAGGTTTAGCGCATAATAACTTTGTAAATTAAATTAAATAAAAACTGGCTAAAATGATAGGTGTTATTGTCTATCTTAGGCGGATGTTATAGCGGACCACATTTGATGCGAAGTGAAACGAGTATCGATAACTGCATGATACATGACATATACCAGTTCCTTTATTCGTAAATAAATATTTTAGTCATTGAACTTCGCCCGTTTTCTCGCAGGATAATGCGATGGTGAAAACAGATGAAAATTTAACTCATCCTAGGAAACCTTTCATGCGGCAGCCGACAAGTTTGGAGCAGGCGTTAGAATTTGTTCTTTCCCGTCTTCCTTTCACCAGAGAACACAGGTACGTACGGCCGCAAGTTTGTTTGGGGCGGCAAAAAAAATCGCCCGAATTTTTGAATCACTATACAATGTCTCCGAGTATTAACTTTTACCAGATTTGTAACAATAAACTTATATAAATAACTTACACAATAAACTTATGTAACAATAAATAAATTTTATTTGGTTTAACAGCGATTACCAGAAATAGTTTAGTGAGCTTTGGCAAGAAAACTGACACCGTGGCAAAGCGCCGGATGTGCAAATTCTAGGTATGTAACCCTTTTTTAGTTTGCCCGAAATTTTCGGCTGAACGTCGCCCGAATTTCTTGATTCTCGTATTTCTTGATTCCTTTTTTGGGGGGCGTTCCCCTCCTGCCCCCTGCCCCGTACGCCTATGCACGATGCGTAACATGCAGGCGGGAAAGGATAAATTTCGACTTTTCTCTTAGTGTTTGTACTGTGGCCTAACCGCCCAAATTCTGGAATCGAATACTTCTGGTCTTCATGCATGTAAGCGAAAAAATTACTATCGTTCACTACACATTGATATGAAACTTTCTTGTGTATGCATGTCTATATATTATATAGTATTAATTTCTCCTTTAATTTATGAGGAGAATTACTATCATTCAGTAGCGTAGCCAGCCTGTCGATTTGTCCCGCTATGCTAATATTTTAGTGTTTACTGACTGTGAAAACAATAGATTTCTAAAGACATTAATAATCATAATAACTCGAAATTTACATAGCGGGACAAAATCGTCAGGCTGGCTACGCCACTGCTATCATTATTCATTACTGTGAACTGTGTTAAAAATTCATGAAATTAAACCGGATTAATTAAAACAAATTTTAAAGCACACTGCAGCTAATTGCATGATATATATATATATACATAGTGTACCTGTCACACATGTCTTTCCATCCGAGAGCAAACTGTATCCTTTTTTACACGAACATTTGTACGAGCCAACTGTGTTTTCGCATGAACTTACATTTAAATTGCATGGCCGGGATGATAAACATTCATCGATATCTAAAATAAAAACAAAAAGCAAGTTTTCAAACCGTTCTCAAAAAGCAAGTTTTCCCAAAATTTTAAATGGTTTGCACCTAATAACACACACATAGGCAAGGGCCGCGAAAGATCGCTAAGACACTAAGTGCTAATATTCATGCATATATATTCACGTTCAGCATTATTAGTTTCTTTTGAAATTGATTGTTTTTACGGAAATTGATTGTTTTTGTGATGGAAACATATGTTTATTGCTTCAGGCGACGGAATTTTGTATCTATGTATTTCTAGTGTGTAATATACCTGTGCATGTCTGTCCAATATCTGTGTATCCCCATTCACATAAACACGAGAACGTGCCGTTATTTATACAATAACGTAAGGGACCACAACTTTCAACAGGACAACCTTCTACAAAATAAATTGGAAAAATTAGGCCCTTTCCCGGAAGTTTGAAGTCAAGATGGCAGAAATTGAAGCCTTTCTTGTAGATATGATCCGTCCTCCGGCTCCGGCGCCGAAATTTGGCAGGGAAAATGGCAGCATTTTTAAAGCTCGTCTTTAGATTCAATTTACAGACATTTTTAGATAACAGTAACCCAAAATATAGCATGTATTCTATAAGAGGAACGTTTGGATAAATTTAACGAAACAGCAAAGCATTTGTGCGCGGCATTGCTCAAGAAAACCTTGTAAACAAACATCGTGCCCGACGAAAACAAAAACACATTTATTATTTTCAAATTGTTTTCAAATATATGGGCCTAAAATAGTCGCAACTTCAGTCGAATGCGCATTCTTTTCATGAAATATCTTTTCCCTTGAAAATTGTTTGAAGGAGCGTAAAAAGCTGGTATGATTTATACAAAAACTACAAAATTTCTTCCATCGCTTCCGGCGCCCTTTGTGACTTGCCCACGCAAAAAACACGCGTGTTTTACACCTACAAGGGCGGCTTCATTGTCCGCCTTGGCTTCAATCATTAATGAGGGAAAGTCAGACAGCTAGTGTTCCAGTCTTATTTAAGTTCACTGGGTGATATCAGTTTTATCGACCGAGGGACAATATCACATGTCATAGTTCAAAGTAACGTGCATGCATGCTATAATTTTTGTGGTGAACCTATTTTAGCGGTCACCATCGACAAACCGATCAGTATAGATATAGGACAGCCTCGTACCCAGGCGCTTTATTGGAAAACATAAAGGCTGCATTCAGCGTAATATAGAGATCTGTGGCTGAGATGTGCGAGCGCGCAGGGGTGCTTGGGGAGGACGCGACGGGAGAACGAAGCGCCTGGCAGAATATGCAGATTTCCGGCTCCCATTTTTGCAAAAAGTGAGAAATGCGTGAAGACTACAATATGTAGATATATTTTGAAGAAGAATTGAACCTGCGATCAAAATTATGGATGATTTGGAACGATCGTTTCAAGAACTATCATTTGAAGGTAGCTTTATACTGAATTTTTTTATTTTAATACGACTATTTTGACAAATCTCGTTTCGTAAACAGTGTATGGGTATACTCCTCTGTGTTACTATGCAGTCGCGCAGTATTTAACACTATTTAAATTCATCTTAATTTCCTTACAAAAGTATCATCAAGCTTGGAGGAGGAAAGGTATACGTTTGGTATCGAAGAATCAAGAATTGAGTGTTAGAGGTGAGTGCTTAGTTGCCTTGAGATTTAAATATTTCCTCTATTGATATTAATTAAACAATAATACATTTTTATTTTTATTCTATATCAAATATGCTATCAAGTTGCAATTTATATGCGTGTTACTAGTGATATACAATAACAAACTCCAGGTCAGATTGTTACCAGCACCCCACAAAAAGAGGGAGGAAAAGAATCATTTCAGCAGGGAAACATGCTTTAACCCCAATGCTTGGAATTTAAGAATAAACATAAGTACATATTATATATCAAGACTCGATTGTCAGAAATTGGGGCTGTTATTCATAAATTATACATATTTGTGCTTTTCATAGGTAGTGGAAGATATAAATCACCAAATTTATGCTCTGAATTAGAAAGGTTGTTGGACTATTGTGAAGACTCCAATGTCCATGAAAAACAGACATTATTAATGAGTTTACATGGCATTCTGATAATAAAAAGAATACTTTGACACGGGGAATTAAAGAAATTTTCCCACATTCTACAAAAAAGAAAATAGTTGTTGGATGTGAAAATATGTATCTCCTTTTGAGAGTATAATGTAGTAGATAGGACTATGGAACAATATAATTTATACATGTATTATAGTAATTTCTTGGAATACTGTACACAACCTTCATCTACATTGTGTGATGTATTTAAGGATTAAAGCACTCTGTGAGTGCATTATCGGGTTTTACATGCACGAGTTCACAAACAAGGAACGAGAAGTTCAATACTGCACGAGGCGAAGCCGAGTGCAGTATTGAACTTCGAGTTCCTTGTTTGTGAACGAGTGCATGTAAAACCCGATAATACACAAACAAAGAGTGCTTTAATGCTTTTAATATTCATTTTGAGTAAACTCGTAAAGACTTTATATAATTTTAAAACTTAAATAAACAACAAATGCTTACCTTTAAATACTATAAAACACCCTAACCGGTTGCCCGTTTAGTATTTTTCGGTGTGGATTCATCTATAATTACATTAATTTCTTCTTAACTAAGTTCGGCAAATTTTTTGTTTATTGCCGCCATTTTGATCGTGCAATAAATCCTATAACGGCACTGCCGTGGCGTTGTTGCTATATAAAATTCACTCACGTGGTACAAATCGACCAATCAGAACGTAAGTTTACAAAAAATGAATATTAAATAAGTATATTGCTGTAGGGATGAATTAAGTCTATTGTTTGCTTTGTGGTACACCAGTTGAATTTCATGTAAAGTACAGTATACCAAAGAGTGTTGGTGTTATAAAGGAATATTAATGAATTAATCTCTACATAGGTTTCAATAGTTAATTTTTCTTAACATTTAATACAGTTATTTACACTAATTTGTTAATGAAACCACATGGTAGTAAACCATAATATTTCTGTAATGCAGAATGATAATATTTCTGTAATGCAGAATGAACTTAATGTAATGGAAAATGGCTTAGATGAACAGAATCAACTGCTGCTATTACTGCATTAGATGATGGAAACATTGAGCTGGCTAAGGGGGTTACAAACTTAGATTCAAATTAAACTCAGCATTGATAAAAACGTACCAGGTCAAAGTCAAAATTCTTAGTGTTTCTGGAGGTGTTAAAATAACAGATTCCCAAGAAAACCAAATTAATAAAGAAGTCAAACAGATGGAAGAAATGTGCAACCTAAATCTGATGTAAATCATTGCATATTCGAGCAGGGGCGGATCTAGGATTTTTTTTACGTTAGTCAAAATTTTCGCAGGTCAATACTACGTTTACAGAGTAAGAGGAATTTTCGCTCCCCCCTAGATTGATGAAATTAGTTATATTTCACAGTTTACTAGCTGATTCGATATAAATCACACCTTTATTGTATTGAGCTTGGTCAAAGCAAAATTGCTTTATAAGTTTATAGCAGAAACACGCGGGCCACATAACAAACATTAATATATAATACTATTAAACATGTCTGGATTTTATTTCTACGGTGCAGACATATAAACATACAGACATAACATGATTTTACAAATATTCATATTCAAAATTCAAAATCTATCACACTTTTAAATAATACAGATATAACACACCAGCTCACGCTCAGCTAATATGAATAAACAATACAACAAATGAGAATATGAACGACTCCAAATTCTAAATATTAATATAATTTTATGACATTTGACCGGCGGCGGGCGAATGCAAATAAATGCTAATAAAGGCAGCTTCAAAGTCCAAGTGAAATATACAGCTTATGTTATCGTTCGGTTTATAGTTTATATTAAGTTATAGTATTATCGGAGAATAGTTTAAATAAACATGAACAGAGAGTGAATATTAAATTTACCTTCGCGTAGAACACTCGACATTACACTTCTCAATTCGTTACGCAAACGAGTATATTATGAAAACAAACCTCCATAGCAAAATTACTCGACAACATGTTATCAGCAATGGTTATCAGTGCCACAAATAGCGTCCGTTGCAAAGAACTGTATTCGACTGCTAAAGCTTTCTCTGCATGAAGTCATCCGAAAAGCTCAAAACGAAAGCTCACAGGCACACCTCCAGAACGAGCAGACCAAACCCCCAAAACGAGCAGACCAAAACGAGCAGACCAACCCCAAAACGAGCAGAATTTTTGTCTCCATGGAAACTACCGAATGGGCCAATCAGATTGATGAGAAACGCCCCTAACCAACCTCCAAAACGAGCAGACCAAACCTCCAGAACGAGCAGAATTTTTGTCTCCATAGAAACGAATGAAAAGATTGCACAAGTCTGCATTCAGGAGCGAGGAAATCGAACGAGATCAGTGTTTATTTAATTTATCAAGCGCAAAAATTATTATGCGACTGTACAAATTTACAACAGGACTGCGATCTGAAAAATATAATCTCACTGCATTCAATTAGTGCGAAATTTTTACGTTAGTCGCGTGATCGGTGTGACTACCCCTAGATCCGCCCCTGTATTCGAGTAGATACTCTTCTTTCAGCGCTCGTAAATAACTGTTTGCGCCTTAATATTCGAAAATGATGAATAATACAACGCAGTGATAATTTTTGCACAAAATCTTTCCCAAATGTACCGCCCGGTGATAGGGTGTACGGTAATTTGCTCATTTGCATCTATGAAATATATGAATATAAAATCGTCCTCCGGCGCCATATTTGTTGCATATTCTGCCAGGCGCTTCATTCAGTGTGACCATAGGCAGCCCAGACTTTGACTTGCGCGTGTGATACTCGCGTGCGTGTCGCGCTTACGTTGTTTACTTCGTCTATATATTATGACAAGGTAGGAAAGAGTTCATCAAAATATTACAGATATACCTTCGTAAATGTATAATTATCTAAAAAATTACTTGAAGAAACGCCACAAAAACTACAACCTAATAATCACCGATGATTAAACTACATTATCCTGCAGTTTCCATGTTTTTAAACAACATCTAAAGCATTCAAATTAGCGAAATAAAACAGGAATTCATACGGAATTTTGAGAAAACTATCCGAGGGTCACTCCGCCTAAGGAAACGTCATCTTTTTTGAAATATTAGCTAAACGCTCATTGGCTTACCTGCGGGACCACCAATGAGAACCAATGAGCGTTTGGTTAATATCTCAAAAAAGATGACGTTTCCTTAGGCGGAGTGACCCTCGGATAGTTTTCTCAAAATTCCGTATGAATTCCTGTTTTATTTCGCTAATTTGAAGGCTTTAGATGTTGTTTAAAAACATGGAAACTGCAGGATAATGTAGTTTAATCATCGGTAATTATTAGGTTGTAGTTTTTGTGGCGTTTCTTCAAGTAATTTTTTAGATAATTATACATTTACGAAGGTATATCTGTCATATTTTGATAAACTCTTTCCTACCTTGTCATAATATATAGACGAAGTAAACAACGTAAGCGCGACACGCGCGCGAGTATCACACGCGCAAGTCAAAGTCTGGGCTGCCTATGGTGTGACCAGACTTTTCGAGAGGCAATTACCAAATCAACCTATCAAAAATTACTAAATGAAGCTAAAAATTACCAAAAGCTAAAAATTACTATCCCCAGTGTTCCACCCACACAAAATTTTGAGTTTCAACTCAATGTCGCACTTCAGAGAGCCGCCTTTTAGGGTCTTTTTGATAAAACAGATAGGTTTCACGCTATGAATATCAATTACTGGGAATTTTACAGCTAATATTGATTTAACAAGTATTCTTAGGCATAATTGAAGCGTTGCATTTTGGTTGCGTTGAATCCAATTGAAACAATAATTGAGTTGTAACCTCATCTAGCCCCATAAGATGATTATATCTATTGTTTGAAATGGATTTCACGCATAAAGGTCGGTGCCGGTGGGGGTAGGTACAGCTTGGGATGAATTTTTGAATGACAGTTTGTGTCATTACAGCAGATTACTAAAATATTACTAACTTTTAGACGAATTTACCAAAAATATTACTAAATTTACTCAATTACCAAAAAAGTCCAGAAAATCGTGAAATATTACCAAAAGTAATTAAAATTACCAAATCTGGTCACACTGGCTTCATTTGTCGCGTCCTCCCCAAGCACCCCTGCGCGCTCGCACATCTCAGCCACAGATCTCTATATTACGCTGAATGCAGCCTTTATGTTTTCCAATAAAGCGCCTGGGTACGAGGCTGGATATAGGATATTACACAGTTGCTATAGTAGATATGGATTTTATGCTCGAGTGGCAAAACAATATTATACAATAAGACACTGTTTTTGTCACGAAAACATAAAATCCATATCTTTGAGCAAACCGTGTAATGTTCTGTTTATAATATGGACTAAATTATGAATGACAAAATACACACAAAGACGACAAGTATATAAGCCGCAAAATACAATTATTGAAGAGAATATTTTTTAAATTAAATCCTATATATTAATTAAATAGAATAAATTTTACTTATCGAAAGATGTATTTTGAGTGGTTTCGTTTGTGTTTCCAACGTTAACTTCGTTTTAAAAAAATAATTATACGAACCAAAGACCATTTGTATTCTCACAACCACAATGAAAATGGCGGGAAAATTTTTAAAACTCGTTATGTCACCCCCAAACGACATACCGAATATATCCGCACTGTACCCCGGATATAGTGGCATATGAGTTCTACGAGTGTTTTATTTAGTTCGCAGTAAAATACCCCATCCATGTAATTAAGAGGTTACGTTATAGCTATAATGGAAAGAAATACTCGCGGCATATGACAAGCCAGTAACCCTCGATCTCTCAATTCATAAACATGATTTAAAGATATCTTGGTCATTGAATCAATTTTTACAAAAAAAGAGATAAAAATATTACATTAGTAATAGAGTGATGACCCCATTTAAATTCCAAAATAATGTCTTTCCGCGCGCTTACATTATAGAATTTCAGAATGAGCTTCCCTCAATTGATGCCCGTGTCCCGTCGTCCAAATACGACAATCTCAACTACCGTGCGAAGTTTTATTAATGTACTTTTCCTATACGATGCATTCCTATAACCTACCTTCAAATTGTCAAGATTTGTGCACGACAATAAAACGTTTTGGAACGGAGTTTTTAGGTAAAGTAATATAGCGCGATATATTTCTGTTGACCAAATTCATTTCCATAATGTTATCCGCCGGTGATTTTTTCTTCTGAAAGTAAATCAAAGTTTCATATATATCCACTGGATAGCGATAACCTGATCCAATCACTTCATTGGTGTAATTAATTGCAACCAGCCTGTTTTTTCCTGTAGTGACGTAAACTATCCTTTTCTGGTAGTCTAAGGCGATATCTTTAACAAATTCTAGATAAAAACCTTGATATATCGTATAATCTCGTATATTATTATTTCCAACCAAATGTCTTTGTCGAAGATCATTTGAATTGTGAAAATTAGCCCAAAAAATGTATCTATATGAAGAATAAAAAATTCCTTATTTAAAATTGCGCGTTCTAATTGGCTCAGTAGGAAATCGATCCGGCACACGCTGTGGACCAATTAAGATTTGTCAGCAGAAAAAAGAGAGTGAAGAAAATTTTGAAGCCAAATAATTATTTAACAAAATAATTAATATCGATATTAAAAAACATGCAAAGTAGAGTAAATCAGTTCATTATTGCAACTGTTCAAAATATGCACGTATTAGAGGAAATGTGTACAATTTATACCGGCTTAATTCACACTTTACTTACCCTGCGGCAGAATCAATTTCGAGGCATGTCATCCATTCATTGTCGACAAAAACTTTTGCAATCGTATTCCCTCGGTCTAAACTCATAACCATAATTTTACGGCGCTGATTCTTTGAAGTAATCCAAAATATGCGACGTCCTTTCCAATCAATTGCTATATCAACGGGGTCAGTGTTCTCCACAAAGATTTCTTTGTTTCCACCTTCGAAATTCATCCGATAAATATGGCGTGCTTCTGTGAAGTAAATTTTCTTTTCCATATAGTCAAATTCTAGCCCATATTTGAATGCGCTATGTTTTAGTCCGCGGATAAGCACAGTGGTATCGAGAGATTCTAAATCAGTTGCAACGATTTCCGCCGGGAGGCGAACAAGTAGGTAAGGTTCGGGATAGGGTCCTAAAAATGATCTATTTATAAGTACGTGGAAAATTTTATGCAAATGTAGGAAGCTCTATATAGAGCTTGGCAGAGCAACACATGCGTATATATAATTTTGGTATGAGATGTGTATACAGAAAAGTAGAATTTCTTACAAAAGTATGTCCTATCGTATATGCATGTCTGGGTTTCTACGGTTCCTACGGAAGCTCTAGGTCATCACAAAACAAACTTCAATACTATTTTGACGATAGTAATTCTGTATTTTTCTCAGTCATAACATGATGATGCCTGACAAGATCTCGGCATGATTAGATGATTTCGGGTGGGCATACGGATGTAGTATTCCTCCGTTGTGATTTTACATCAAGAATTGATATAGCATAAATTACAGAGGGAGGCAAAAGTCTTAGTCAAGTCGATAATTTTTACTTATTTAGAAATAAATCATAAAAAACGCATCGTGAGATGGAGATTGGATAATATCTTGATTTTAACTTGCGTATTTTATGATAGTAATGAAACCCCCCCTAATGTTTTCTCGTTAATTCGTATGGTATTTAAATTGTACAGAAAATGCGGGTTTTTCTTTTTGTCGAACAATGATGGGATGAGAAAGCAAAAAATTGAGGTGAGGTTATATGCATGTGTGGAAGGAAAAGTTGGAAACGTTTTGTTAATCAGGTTCATATTCAATCAAATGAAGATCTGGGAGACCAAGAGACACTCCTGCAAAGGAGGATGGAATCATGGAAAGAGAGTATAAGGAAAACCAGTGGAGTGTCCTTAATCAATGTTGGTGTAGTAACCTATTACTAATAATAGATATGACATTAAATTCATACTACTAATTCATTACTAGAAATTTGCGATATGATAATTTGCATTTCTATTAATTTGCATTTAACTTTCAGCATAATGGCCTTCAACCTTTACCACTAAATACATATAGTAAATACACAAAATCTAAAAATGCCGTTGACCTAGATCTTGCCTACTGTTTGCCGACCTCTGGCTCAATAGAACAGCCGTTTCCCAACGTTTTAATGATCGAATAGTTACCTTAGGTATTTCTACGTTCTGCCAACTGATTGTGAACAAATATGTATACGTTATAGCCTTCGTATTATTCAAGTCCCTGATAAGACTGATAACATTTTTTAAAGTGATTCCAGTAAAAATCCGAGCCGTACAGAAAAGTTTTTACACAAATACGAAAGACAATATCTTTAACATTTTTTTGGTATATTACACGTCAATTCATCAACTACCTGAATCGAAATATTCGAATCAATGTGAGCGATTTTATAAGTTTGTTGTAAGAGCACGGACAAAACTTTGAGCAATATAGTTTAAATTTGGCAGATTGCAGAAACGCCCAAGCTAAAAAAGTCGGTCACCAAAACGTTTCTAAACTGCTGCTTTACCGATCTAGAGGTCGGCAAACAGTAGGCAAGGTCTAGGTCAACGGCATTTTCAAGTCTTGTATATTTACTATATATATTTTATATAGTAAAAGTTGAAGGTCATTGAATGCAGACTAGTATACATGCAAATTATCATGTCGAAAATTTGTGGTAATGTATATAAACATATGTCAATCAAGTAGAGCTCTTATTAATTGTGAGGATTTAAATATAACTAAAACACAGCAGTTGGAATAGAATTGAACCATGCAGGAGTGCTAACAAAACTGGTTCACTCCAATGACTCCATGTCAGATGCGTGTTTTGAAACGTAAAACAGGTCATCAAGATATTAGAGCAGCGGCAATCTTTTTAAGTCCTATATCGTGATTGTATGCGCATGTAGTGCCGTCGTTATATTAATGCGACATTAAAATGACAGGACTCAGACTTTTGACGCCCACTGTGTGAATAACAACAACTAGATTAACCGAGGGTTTGTCATATGAACTTTAGTCACAACAGTGGTAACTGATGCTCGATGGACTGTACAATATTCTTTGCGTATAAAGTTTTGTAAATCTGGAGTTGGGTTAGGACTCACGGAAGGAGTAGATCTACAGGTGCAAAAACATTCTTTACCTGCATAGAAACACATTTTACTGTGCGTGCGCATCCTTTCCTTATAATATTCCTTTTCTGCTCCACAACTTGATGAAATAATTTCATGCCGACTTTCGTTCAAGCATCTTTCTCGCCAGTCTCTTATTTCCTCCTTTAGTTTTTTCAAGTGTTTGCGGCAAAAAGGAATATCATCATTACAATTGACCAGAACTCCACCAATATACATCAAGAAGATGAGACTGATCATCGTGCGCGAAATTTGCATTTGAACAAGAGAATACATCACCTGCGCCGAATAAAATTTGTCGCTCAGTACATCATTTTAATTTTGGAAAATTTTCGTTAATTCTCTAATGTACTTATTGATTTATTTATATCAAAATTATTGAACAATGTTCAAACGGAGAAAATGCAAACGGAAAACGAGGTCCCATGCGACGCATTCCTCCGATTGCATTACAACGAAAACAAATAACACATGCCCAGAAAAAACATATATAGCTACACGCGTCGAAGAATAAGCATACTAGCTAATGGCACAAGCTTGAAAATTAATATTATTGTTTTGGAGTTGTTTTTTTTTGGGGGGGGGTTCTTTTTATGTTGAAAAATATCTATTTTATCGGAAAGCGATAGTAGCCTAAGATAATGTAAGAAACAACTAACTAAATTAGAATCAGGCAATAGCATATGTTAATTCTATTCGAAACGACTATGGACAGGGCATGTCGGCGTCGTAATAAGAGACTAATGAACGTAAATACGTTCTTGATAGAATCGATCTGAAGATTGCCAGGCTACGTAAGTCTGATCTTTAGTCTGATTTGAATACGCATTTAAGACAAATTGAGACATACATTTTTATTCAACTTCACGTCTTACTGAGTGCCTTACGTATACAAATGCATGGTAAGTTAGATTTGTAGCATAAGTAAAGATTTCAGTGTAAAGAATATATAGTCATGTTGAGCATAAAAGAGAGTTTTCATTCATTATAATGATTCAATGTTCTTACGTATTAGATTTCCCACGGAATTTCCCATTCACACTACTCGTACAATTTTGCACAGCGTGGCTAAAATTCGTCATCGTACCCAATTTTCTCAGTGTTCAAATCTTAGAATAGTCTGAACGTTTAAACTGCACTCAATTTATCGGGACGGCAATGCTAAAATGGTGTACCCCTACCAATTTCATTTGTGCCCAGTCTTTGTATTGGTACGCTGAACGCTAACAAAATTTGGTACGGGTACACATTTTGATGTTTGATAAATTTAGTGTAGCATAAAAAGTGAGCGTGAGTTAAAAGGCCTTTATACATGCGTGCATGTGTTCTACGAAATCGATCCGGTTTCGTCGAAAACCATATTTAGTATAGTCCTTCTTGCGTCTCCTGCGCCGACGCATAAGCAGAACAAAAAAGAAAATTGCTCGTCTTTAATAAAATAAATATAATCGTCTTTACTTTCATTACCTGTGCATGCTGTTTAATTTTTTAGTTAACTCTGCATTTTTATCACCTGTCGACGAAGAATTCCGCATGTTGATCGTAATCGGTGCGGATGAAATGCGTGTGGCTTTGTGAAAATTCGTTCTTGTTTAAAAACTGCGGAAATAATCATTACCGCTTCAAGTTAGATATATTTTTTTTACCAACCACAATATTTTTTGTGTTCAAAAGTCATTCACAACAATAGGTACGCAATTTGTCGGTACGAACCTTACTGAAATAAATTCATGTCGACTTTTGTTTAAGCATATTTTTGGCCATGCAGTCTTTTGTATCTTATTCTTTTCATTTTTTAAGTAACAGTTGCAAAATGGAATATCATGATTACAATTGACCAGAACTCCACTAAAATACATGAAGAAGATGAGACTGATCATCATACGTGTAACATGCATTTGAGCAAGGAAATACATCACATGACTCGGGTAAATTTGGTCGTTCAATACATTTCTTAATTCATCAGAAAAGAGCAATACATTATGGCAAATTCGGTGCACCGATTTTCATTGTTTAAAACTGAAACAGGATATAACTCGTATGATTGAAGGTGGTAGGGTATAATTATGTGGAACACTAATTGTTGTATGATGATTGAAGAAAATTACATAATTTTATGTGCAGTGCAGTAAACGTTCCAAAATGGCTAGCGACAGTAGTGGCGTTCTCTCGGAGATCTCTAATTAAGCGCAAAGGAGCGTTTTTCAAAGTTTTTTAACAGCGAAAAGAAGAAGTACCGATATAGAAATGTAAGCTGGTCGGATATGAACACGACTAAATTACTTGACAATCATGAAGTTTAGAAATTGTTCGCTCCGTTTGTTTACATTTCTGTCCATTACTATATTAAAACCAAGCAGATTGTATCCTTTCTACAAGACTTTTTATTTCTTTAAATACAAGCTATACATAGAATATGAATGTTATCTTACCTCTATTTGAATGCCTTTTCCTTTGAGAGTGTAGTGTTTAGCAACAGCAGGCAAGGAATGTCTTGACTGAAACTGTAATACCAGACTTCTAGCAAAAAAGCTCTCGAAACTGAAATGGAAAAAATGTCAAAAATTAACATAAACCTCTACGAACTGTAATATAGAGGTGTTTTTTTTTGAACGTTTCAGACAGGCTTAAAACCTAAATATCTAGCAACAACAGGAACGGGATAAATTATCTCATGTCTTTTTTTAATACAACTGCTCAACCATTTTTCCTCTCGCCACCGCTAGCACGGGAAGTACGCACTAGAAATTTCTTCCAAAATCCATGTTATGGAAATAGTATGGAGTTTACAATATCCTTACTAAATGCCATTTTCATACTATGGATATACAGTATGAGCATCCAAGATGCATTATTTCATTGCTGTGGAACGAAATTACTTCAACTATGACTTTTTTGGTACTCGGATCTCTGGGTTATTTTAACCCGTTCCCACAATATTTTTATGTTTGCCCTACCCAAAATATGCTCTTTGTTAAGCTTTATATTTAAATTGTAAAAATAGAACAATGCAAATGAATAGATCACTTAGGCCCTGTTTACACGATAGCAGATTCGCATTGTCACGACATCAAAATTAGCCATGTCAGAGGGAGTTCTATAGCCCAAAATTTTGATAGCATCATTGCTTTAACATGGTCTGCAGGATGAAAAAGTTTTGTGAAGAAATATATCGTAAAACACCTTAAAACGATTTCGTGACTATTTGAATCCAGTATAGTATAAACGGGGGCGCGATGTGGGATAAGTATTTGATTTTGTCACAAAAATTAATGGGCATAAATGTCACTATTGGCTATTCGCAATCAATTTAATTGCATGATTACAGTTTAAGTGATAATCAAGAGATAGAGCAGTATGGGGGTTTTAATGTCAAGGGTTTCCTCCCGAATACTCGTTTTTAGATGGAATTTAAGGCCCGTTTACACTACACTCGATTTATTGCCACGGCACGGCTAAAATGGGTACCCGTGCCCATTTCATGGGGTAGCCTGCAGGGGCCGGTTATTCGAAAGGCGCTCAGTTAAACGGTGGATAAGCAAAAGTTTAAAACTTAATACTCTCATACATCTTGTGAATGACTGAACCTACTTCTTTTGCATTAAATATGCACTTCCATCGAAAATTAAACTATTTACATCGAAATTTTTTAGTTCAGTTATTCAAATAGGTAATTTTGTTTTTCATTTTGAACTTATCCACCGTTTATAAGCTAAACGCCTTTCGAACACACGGCCCTATATCTAAAAATATACAATATAAACAATATTTCCCTACTTTGACTCTTACTGTAAAGTGTAAGCGGCATTAGACCCATAATATTTGGCATGTAGCATAGCTTGGAGCAATACTAGCTTATGCTGTAACAGTTATGAATAATATTCAGGCTTACAAATTGACCGTATTCATGGATGTTATTTCCTATTATTGCCCTTTATTTCGACACACATGTTTCTGCTATTAAAACTGAAGGCTCAGTAAACTTTAAGACATTTTTAATGCGTACTTTTCGCGCATAATTTTTGTATAAATTTCGTGTTCAGATGATAAGTTAATAATTTTGGAATTTTCTTAATCTCGTGGGGGGGAGGGGGGCAATTGACCCACCTCCCCATTTTCACTTCCGATAATTTTCACTAACGTGCGAAAAAACCTAGATCCGTCCCTGTTTCCATGAAACGTAAAGATATCCACTCCAATTTGCTGCCACGATCTAGACGGAGTCGGGTGGGGCTTCAGTGGCTCGGATGGTTGCTGTAGCTTGTTTTGGTTACATATGCTGCAGGATTTGACTAGCTGTTCAATCTCTTTGTCCATTTCAGGCCAAAACAATGCTTTGCGAGCTCGTCGTTTACTTGCTTCAACTCCGAGGTAAGGTTGATGTATAATCTTGAGTATTTCTTTCCGCAACACAGCCGTAATTACCATCTTGCTTCTTTTGAGGATCAGGTCATCGCAGATGGTCAGCTTTTCTTTATAGCCCCAATAGCTCTGAATAGATGGGGATAAATGGGACTTGTGTTGTGGCCACCTATCGACGATAACTTGTTTCAACCGTTGTAAGACTGGACCGTTCTGTGTCTCCTCCTGTAAACGTTTTAGCTTCGACGGGAAACAGGCAGTACCATGTGTATTTCTAGCTCTTCTTTGTGGATATAATTATATCGTTTAGATCGACCTCTTGATAAGCTCTGCTCACGGTATCGGCTACATATAATTCGGTGCCTTTCTTGTAGGTAACTTGTAAATCGTACTGTTGCAGGCGAAGTAGCATTCGTTGCAATGTCATCGGACAGTCATTAAGAGGTTTCGTGAAAATGCTCATTAATGGTTTGTGGTTAGTTTCCACTTAGATGGTCTTTCCATATATAAACTGGTTGAACTTGTTACGCGAAAAGCCGATGGCCAAAAGTTCTTTTTCTATTTGTAGGTATCGTTTTGGGGCATCTGACAAAGCTCGCCACGCATACGCTATGGGCTGTCCGTCTTGTTCCAAAACAGCTCCAAGCCCAGATTTGCTGCTACCACAGGATATCTTTACTGGCTTCAAAACATCGGAATAACTTAATGTTGGCTGCTTCGCGCAATCTTCCTTCAATATTTGAAAAAGCTTTCCGATGCTCATCGTTCCACTGGCAGGCTACATCCTACTTCAGCAGGGATCGTAGTGGAGCTGCTTTCTCAGACAGGTTTGGAATAAACTTTGCGAGGTACTGTATCATACGGAGGAATCGTCGTATATCCTGCTTCGTGTTTGACTCAGGCATCATCCGAATGGCTTGTAATTTTTCTTGGTCTGGCTTGATTCCATCCGACGTGATCGTATGTCCGATATACGACACCTCGATCCGTAACTCGTATCTTGCATTTCTTTTTGTTCAATTTCAGTTGAGCTTCTCGGGCTGGGTCGAGAACCTTCTTTAGGCGCGGTCGTGCCCCTCGTCATTTCGTCCCAAATCATTAAATCATCAGCAATCACTTCAAAACCTTCTAAACCACCAAACAATTCTTCCACGACTCGTTGGTAGACTTCAGGAGCAGATTTGATGCCAAATATAGGGCAGGCGTTTAAACCTATAACGTCCAAATGGAGTGTTGAAACAGGTCAGAAATGAGGACTCTTCATCCAGAGGGATTTGCCAAAATCCACTTGTAGCATCCAAAGTCGAAAATATCTTGGCTTCAGGTAGTCTAGTCAGAACATCTTCGACAGTTTTCAATACTCTCTCTTCACCGTCTCGTTAAGATCTTTTGGATCGATGCTCAAGCGGATCTTATTTGGTTTAACGACCGTAACCAGCGACGAGACCAATTCTGTTGGTGTAGTGTTTGGCGTTACAACTCTAACTTCTGCATACGATATAATTCTTCTTGAATTTTTGAAGGAAGAGCTACAGGAATTGGACTGGTCTCACGTTCTTGTCAATTTCTATAATTATGTTACGTTATTGGAAGACAACCAATACTGCTAGTGGAGATAAGATTGCTTGTTCACAACATAGAACTCCCGCGGATACTGTCTGCCTCTATAGTTTACTGGTAATACGACTGTTCCTTCAAGCTCTTTTCCACTATACGTAACAAGTTTAGTGGCAGTAGTGCTAGTATCTAGTTTGAACTCTGAAAGCAGGGTCCGATTGTATAAAACTCTTAACTACGTTTTAACTACTTTTTAACCACCCAACAGTAGTTAAAACGTAATTTAACTCTAATCACGTAGTTAAGCCAGTTGTGTAAAAACGTAGCTAGTTAGCGTTAATTGTAGTTAAAAAGTAGTTAAAGTTAACTATCCTCAAGGGCATCGTTAACTTTCCAAATCATAGTTAAAAATGGCGTCTTGAGCTTTTGAGGAGTGAGAAAACATTAAAATCAACACATACAGTAGCGTAGCCAGCCTGTCGATTTGTCCCGCTATGCTAATATCTTAGTGTTCACTGACTGTGAAAACAATACATTTCTAAAGACATGGATAATTATAATAACTGGAAATTTACATGGCGGGACAAAATCGTCAGGCTGGCTACGCCACTGAACACATACCAGGGTTGTCAACCGTTATCCACTCAGAAAAGGCCCCGTCGAAGCTTTTAAACTTTCAATATGCCTTTATTTTTGTCATTTGGGCAGCAACGAGGTATATTTTTGCTTCGGGAGACGTGTCGATGCCAAATTATGATCCTAGCAACGATTAGCCAACTCCATTTTCAACTGCACCCGGTAGTTTGACTCAAAGGGACCTTTTTATATTAAGAGCGCCGTTTTCGCTGAATTAAATTGAACGTTTTCCTAGTTTTATTGCATTTTTTACACTATTTCAAATCAAAATACTGTAATTTTTTGTAATTACAAGTCCAAAATCAATAATAGCGGTCAATAATTTCGAGATACTTCATGCTATATCTCTGCTTAACAACCCCCCGCAAGCTCCACGCAAGTTAACTACGTGATTAGTTAATCATCCGACTAACTACGCTTTGTGCAACGCAGTTAAGTCGTGTAGTTAACTAATCATAGTTAAGGATTTACCTACAGTGATTAGCGCTAATCATAGATAAAGTTAAATACGTTTTTATACAACCGGCCCCTGATTGTAAACTTATACTGTTATATTCCACTCTTCCTCAGGGATCGGTTGTTCGAAAGGCGTTTAGCTTATTAAACGGTGGATAAGTTGAAAATGGAAAACAAAATTATCGATTTATTGAACAACCGAGCTGAGATATTTTGATGTAAAAAGTTAAATTTTCAATGGAAGTACAAATTAAACGCATACGATGCAAATTCAGTCATTTACAAGATGTATGAGAGTATTTTTAAAATTTAGCTTATCCACCGTTTAAGCTAAACGCCTTTCGAGCAACCGGTCCCTGTACTGCTAACACTGTTTACCTCTTTTTGCTGCTCTAACGCACCTACATACAGTTCATGAGTGTCTAGTGAATGAGTTTTTATCACACTTTTACATACCTTGGTTTTGCTTACCACATTTCTCACCAACTGCTGGGCACTTGCTTTTGTTTCGTTGATGTAACATTCCGCAGTACTTGCACTGAACATTTCTCAGTTGTTCTTTTTAGGGCGTTCGCTGGTTCCTTGTCTTCGAGTCAACACGCTTGACCATAACGAGTCCTTTATTGCTTCGTCAATTGTGCTCGTTGCATTTTTAAAGGCCGGCGCATACTAGAGCTATGTGCTTAGCAAAAAGTCATTCGTGGCCATTGGCGTAAGCCAGTTGCTCTCGTGTGCGGGCGACTTTTCCGGCGACTTTGGTCATTCGTGCCACTTACGGCAAATATTTAGCATGTTTGATAATTTCTGCCTCGCGTGCCGAAATCTTTCCGTGTGCAGCAAACTGAAAGCTATCTGCTTATGGATTGTCTTAACAGCGCATGCGTCATATACAAAAATAAACATCAAAGATAGCGGTGCAAACAAAGCAAAACGAATTGGTGGCTGAGGCCATATTGGAAAACAAACTGGTTGATCTTTGGTCAGAATACAGTTGTTTATATGATGTGAACTTTGCAGATTTCAGAAACAGAAAGAAACGGGAATGCGCTTTGCAGAAATAGCTAGTGAGCTTTCTCAAACAGGTAATATAATTAATAGCACTTGGATAACGGTGTTTAGTCTAGTCCTACGCAACAGCAACAAAAATAACAACACCTCTTCGTCTTCATTTTCATCCATAATTTTGTTTTTGCAATCTGTACGCCATCTTGGATGTTTACTTTCGTATATTACGCATGCGCTGTTAAGACAATCCATAAGCAGATAACTTTCAGTTTGCTGCACACGGAAAGATTTCGGCACGCGAGGCAGAAATGATCAAACATGTTAGATATTTGCCGTAAGTGGCACGAATGACCAAAGTCGCCGGAAAAGTCGCCTGCACACGAGAGCAACTGGCTTACGCCAATGGCCACGAATGACTTTTTGCTAAGCACATAGCTCTAGTGTGCGCCGGCCTTAAGGCTTCCATATGGCTTCGAGTCTGTTCACCTGCTCGACAATAGCTAAAGCTCTTTGCAAATCTAAGTCAGCTTCGCGAAGTAATCAACTTCGTACTGCATCATCTCGGACTCCAACTACGATTCTATCGCGAATTAGTTCGTTACAAAGAGCGCAGTTCTGAGTTCTTAGCTTGTAGTCTAAGTCCAGTAACATACGCATCAATGGTTTCGTTCACATCTTGCATATACGTGTACTGAAATAACTGAATAAATGCCGTTCGTATGTTATATTCCTCTTTGGCTTGCAATATGCTTCGAATTTCTCGATCAAAACAGCTGCCGGATCGTCTTGTTCTTTTTTCTCGCTTTACGTAAACGTGTTATATACTTTGATCGCTTGCCCTCCTGCGAGATTTAAGAGCATACAACCTCTGTGTTTGATTTCTTTTCATAGCATGACGCTACAAGAAATATCTCATATTTCTGCTTATCTTCGCCGGTATACGGCTATGCTCCCTTCAAAGGATATTTGACTAGGTTTAATAAAACCTTCCATTTCGTGCTTTTACAACGGCCACCATGTAATTTATATACGAACGCTTACAAGAGAAATACTGAAGTTTTATTCACAAGCTGGTTATCATGTACACTAATACTTAACACATGCAAATAAGGACACTATTATACTAATAATTTCTATACTAACGAGTGCCATCATACTAATCTACAGGGTGAGTAAAAAAAAACGGACACCTTTGAAATTCAAATTAGCTGCGAACTTATGGCTGGAATATGACAATTCCCATGCACAATCAGCAAAAACGATTTGATAATACTGTTCTTTTGTATTTACAGAGCTTAGAATGCATTTTAACTCCCAATGGGAACAAACTTTATGTCTTAGGTTAATTAATATGATATGCTTCGTACACCTATGAAATATTTTAAGCAACTTCTATCACATTACAGCCGCTATGCGACTAATTTGAATTTCAAAGTGTCCGTTTTTTTTGACTCACCCCGTATTAATATTTATGAGTCCCAAGCTCCATCATTACACCTAATTTCACAGGGAGTTTGGGAATTACACCTGGTACGTATTGTGACAGAACCAGTGAACTGTAATAAAACCTGGAACGCCAGCGCCATATTTGATTGAAGCCAAAAATTAAAAGCAGAACTGTTTGAAAAACTGAGCTTTTGACTGTGTTTCTCGTTCAATTCCTAGAAAAATTATAGCAAATGACTCTATTTTATATAGTTCTAGACTTTCCTAGATAATTACTCTCTACGTTTGTGTGAAACGTTCAAAAACTCAGAAAACTATCTTCAAATTTGACTCCGAAGATATCGGCCAAACTATTGCACTTGTAAAAGAAATTCCGTTTGGCAGAACCGAATAAATTATATGAATAAACGACCACCTACCAATTCAAATCGTTCTTCTTACGCCCCTGTTCCCAGGCCTATACCTTAATTGCAACTGAGCAATGATGAAGTTTTTAGTCTGCTTGTTATGCCACGCCTCTATGGTGATGCCCATATTTGTATTTTGATGATGATTTTTTTCCTTATTTCAAAATCCAACTTTGTATACCAGTGATATCATTCAGCGTTGTGAATATTACGATACTTCAGACCACAAAATCACAAATCAACACAAATTTCTGTCAACATAATACCAAGTTAACACTTTATTCATTCCTGACCAAACATTAACATCAAACGTATACATAATTTTACAGTCATAGGTCATGCCACTTTTAACTCCTAGGCTTAGTGCAAACTTACTATATTATTTACTCACTTCTTATAATATGCATACACGTCTAGCTTTGATGAAATTGATATTTTCAGTGTAACTGGACTTGAACAGCCAGGGTTTAGTAATGGAAATCTACAGAATGTTCAGTCTTATTCAGATATATGTAAAGCTATAATTATGCAGGAAGGCCTCGCCAAAGTGTGCGTTTACTGCAAAAATCAAGTGCAAAAATCTTCCAGAAAGTTGAGATAAGACCTGGCTGTCCAAAGCGTCCAGTGAAATTACCTGGTTACATAATTTAACCGTACTATTAAATATACCAATAATTAAAATTGAAGAAAATTTGTTAACGGTGAACCGTGCTAAACAACAAGGCCAAGCCTTAGCACTTTTACCACCAGTGGTCTAGACTAATCGATAAGTGATAATCGATCAAAAAACGAAAATCTCCGTCTTTGGCAGTCAAAGTGTTTTAGAGCGATTCTCTAATACTACTATTACGTCCCCTCCGCAAGCGCGGGCGAAGCGCGCTTTGTTTTTGCGCCGTGCATGGTCGCATGGGCAGATTTTCAAAGGCCGCTTCGCCCACGCGGGCAAAGCGGGCGTAATGGAGAATCACCTTTAGGGGTTGTTCACATGAGCAGGGTTACCGAGATATAATGAAGCGAAAACGTAACGACTTTGAGGTACTGAAATGAAGGTATTGAAATGAGTAAAACACGATTCTGTTAGTCGTGTAATCATACTCACAATAGCATGCTGTGCCGGAAAAGCGAAAGGATGATAACTATAACTTGTCGGTAAATCGACCCCAATGTCAAAAAATTCGGCCCATCAAAACACGTATGATTTATCTTGTAAATGTTCTACATCCCTTTAAAGGTATTCTCACAAGGGGCCGGCGAATAGACCACTTGCCTTTTAGCGCAGCCCGCTTTGCATGACGGTAGGAGTCTTCACTTTGCAATCGAACGACATGGCGACTGTAATGAGCGAACGATTATTATTTGATGAGATATTTACCAATATTTAGTGCTTCTTGTTTACAATCGATGAGTTATTTAATCCTAAAATAAACATAGAGGTCTCAAACGAAGCGGAGGTAAATTTTTGAGCGAAATCGGTCCATTCTAAACGAGGAAAAAGGAGTTCGAGTGAGGCATCAACAAGACGTTCTTCGCATATTTATGCCTTGAAATATCTCATTCTCCAAAGAAAAACAGGTGAGTTCACCAAATAACCGGCGATCACCCAAGAATTTTTACTTACGAATAAGCTTTGTTCCCTTTCCCGATTTTGTATTTTGCCCTGCTTTCTAATTCGTATTGCTTTTTAAACTCCGTGAAAATGACCATGCTTGGCAAAATATTTGACCGATTTCGCCTTTATATTGTTCAAACACAGACTAAATTTCTTGGCGGAAAATTTGCAATGTTTGAATACTTAATTACTTTTTTGCCGATGTTGAAAACTACGAAAAAAACTACAAATAAGTGCTGTTTGACCTAGGCAAACTTTTCGAAAATTATATAAATAAAAAAGAATATAGTATTTTGAAACAATAATGGAGGATGAACCACCACCACTTCAGAAGGGAACAATGAAAGCAAAGTACGCCAATGGAAAACATACTGTTGTGTGCCAGGATGCAGTAATAATAGTTATAAAAATCCTGAGCTCTCTTTTCACAAAATTCCAAAAGATAAAGATGTTAACAAAAAATGGAACAATTACTCAAGGATTACTCAACCCTCTTCCTAGTCAAAAGGTGTGTTCAGCTCATTTCCCAGGTGGCAAAAAAACATATAGTGACAACATCCCCACCATTTTCATGCCACAAACTGCTACAAAGTCAAGGAAGATTCCTACTGTCAGAGTGTTTGAAACAGCACAAGACAAGGAGCATGTATCTCCTAGTAAAACCTCAGTTCAGGAGCAAATGTTACCTGAAGAAAGATGCATGGATATAGAAGCTCAAAACAAAATAAAACACTTACAGGAAAATGTCAAAGCCCTACAAGCGCATAGTGTAACCTTGCAAAAGAAATATGACGAGGATGTAAAAAAAATGGGACAGTGTTTATTTCGCATTGAAAGGTTTATTGGTAGTGACATTGATTTTCGATTTTATACTGGGTTTCCTAACTACACAATTTTTAAAGCATTTTTTGATTACCTGTCTCCCGCATGCAACCACCTTATTTATCATGGGTCAAACACTGCACCTATATGGCTATATTATCAGAAGGTCAAGCCAAGTGTGGCAAAGAACGATCTCTATCTCCTGAGCAGGAATTTTTTTTAGTATTGTCACGGTTAAGATGTGGATTATTGCTACGGGATATTGCCCACAGGTTTGGTTTATGTGAAAGTCATATTTCCCGTATTTGGAAAACCTTAAACCTGGCTGTCATTCCTACAACAGCGCCTTGGGGCTCTACCTATTTGGCCAAG